GTCCTTGATTGTCGATAGATGCTCTTGTTTGTTCGTTGACACTATTGAACGTTTATAAACATGCAAATTGCGCTCTTGAATGTTCCGTGGCGTTAATGAAGTGCTTCTTGGTGTTACAGAATGTATATTCGTCTTATTGATTCTACACTTCGCGAAAATGAATGTCTTTTTCGCCTAAATGATCAGCAAAAGGTGTAATACACCTTGTTTACCCCCCAGAATTTTGCATAACCATTGTTTCCAATTTCTCCTGGGTATTACAGTCGTCCCAAGAGAAATCGATAACAATGGTTGTGCAAAGTTTTGGGGGTAAACAAGGTGCATTATGGTCTATATGAAAATGGTGAATATACATTTAGTTTAGTTCGACACATGTGAAGATCGACGTTTGTTTCAATGGCGGTCTTAATCAGACGAACTTAACTGCCCGACGTCGAACTCTTCTTGAACTTAGCTCACTAAGTTTGGTCCGTCTCTTGAAAAGTTTGACGTTTGGTTGAGACCTTAAACGACCACCACGACGACGGCAACGTGAAAAACTAATCACAGGATGTATGAGCAAATCAACAGTTCGACACGTGCATCACGCTTTTGGTACATTTGGTTTTCGTGCGACGTTGTGTAGACGATGTTACACACAACGGAAAATTTTCCTTTCTCTTTGAACTTGGATAGAGTCCTTAAGAGTCCAAGTGCAAGAGAATTAGCATTGCCCTAGGCTAAATAAATGCGACAGATAACAATGATGGTACATAGCGGACACAGGTTATAAAGTGTTATAGGTTTTATTATTTCGCGGCTGGGAGATAGCTTAACCTCCTTTAATAAAGATAACAGTGCTAATTTTTTTGGTGAAAAAGATGTACAATGAAGCTGTCCGGGGCGCAGGTAGCCCAAGCGCGAAATATAAGCATCGGCGAACATTTTTGGGGACAACATTGACATCGAAATGTAAGGATTTGTATGGGAAAAAAACCTATCGTTTCCGTAACCTACGAAAATAAAAGGATTTCAATAAAAATCAGCTTACCTTACGTAAAATGTGTGTTACGTCTCTTCTGTGTGATCCATGGGCCGATTTATGGCCATTTAATGGGTTGTACTTTAAACGGTTTTCTCTCCATACAAAGGTTTAACCACAGGTAGCCCAAGCTTGAAATATGAGCATCGGCATTCTCTCTATATGAAGGTAAACCTTTATATAAAGAGAAAACCGTTTACATAAAAACCCATAAAACGGTCATAAAACGGCCCGTGGACCACACAGGAGAGATGTAACACACATTTTAAGTAAGGTAAGCTGTTTTTTATTGAAATCCTTTCATTTTCGTGGGTTGCAGAAACGATAGGTTTTTTTACCCATACAAATGCTTATATTTTGAATGTTACGCAACAATGCCGATGCTCGCCGATGCTCATATCTCGAGCTTGGGCTACCTCTGGTTTAACGGCCATAAATCGGCCCATGGACCACACAGAAGAGACGTAACACACATTTCATGTAAGATAAGCTGTTTTTTATTGAGATCCTTTCATTTTCGTAGGTTACGGAAACGATAGGTTTTTTCCCCATACGAATCCTTATATTTCGAAGTCAATGTTAAGCAACAGTGCCGATGTTCGCCAGTGCTCATATTTCGAGCTTGGGCTACCTGTGTCCGGGCTTTCTATTATTTGAGAATTACGCGAAAAAACTTTAAGTTAAATCTCGTACTCGTAGTCGTTCTCGTCCTAGAATCTAAAGGTCTCTATTTTCGCTGTTCTTGCTATGTTTTGTGGGCTATTAGTTTGGCTATTCTTCGCAAAACGTCTGGAATTTTCCGCCATTATCTCCAGCTCATTCATAGCAGTTGAGCCACCGCGCCCTACCTTATCCCCAGGGGGTTCTAGTTTTGCCGTCCCTTTTCTTGTGAATACCGTAATACCGTTTCCTGTGAGCTCCTCCAAATATAAGCCCCCCAAACCGGTAACGCAAAAAACCCTCCGTTAAATCGCCCCTCCAAATATAAGCCCCCCGGCGGCTTGTATTTGGAAAATTGCCCTCAAATACAAAGTAAAACAAAGTAAAAACGGTAAATTTACTTTCAACTATAAGGCTAGCCCAATCGATTTTGAAACGCAAATTTCCCTCCGGAGATAAGCCCCACCAAAAATAAGTCCCTCAAAAAGGGCCTTTGAAAAATATAAGCCATTGGGCTTATTTTCGGAATTCTATGGTATTCTGTACAATTGACGTCATCGGTGCCAATATTGCAAAACGTGTTTCAAATTTGGTCAGTTCTTGCTGGTTATGAAGAATTAGTCCAAGGATTTGAGCTAACCAGAAACGGAGAAATAGAGTGAATGAATGAATAATAAAGATTATCACGTTGTTCATCGTAATGCTCCTTCTCTTTAATCTGTTTTTTATTCCAGCCTCGTTCTTTAAAAAGGACCAAGATGGATCCATGCATAAGGCTGCCTTACTGTCTGGCTCACCAGGAGTTGGTAAAACAACAACAGCCACGCTCGTGTGTGAAGAGCTGGGATTCAGCTACGTTGAAATGAATGCAAGTGATACAAGGAACAAGAAGACACTGGAGGAGCACATCTCCCAGTCACTTAGCAACAAAACCATGGATGGTTTTCTACCTGGTAAAGCCAAACTAAAAACTTCTTTTTTATAATTTTTTTTTTTCAATCAATTATTTTCTTTAGGCAACATGCAGTGTAGGTTTTCCCTTGAGAAACACATTGCACAGATACTTTACTTTGAGATACTTTACTCGAAAGATCCTTTCTGATGATTTGCCAACTTAAAAAGGGGAAAATAAGGCTTTCTTTCTCCCGCCTCAGTCCATGCAATGTTGCACCACTGTTTGAGCTACATGTAGGAAACAACAAACCTCCCTCTTTTGGATGGAGGGGAGGGGGATGGGTGTGGAATGATTTGTTCTCCGAAGTTACCCCATATGAGGAAAGTGTCTCAAAAGGTTTTTTTTTTTTTTGCTGATTGCAGCTTGAGCTCTATTAGCTTTGGGGTCCATTGTGAGTATTTAAAATGAAAATAAATAGAAGTAACTCTAAAAAATGAACGGCTTGTATGCGCATTTATTAAGTTGTAACGTATACTGTCCAATTGGCCGGCATACGTCAGAAAAATGTACGATGCTTTCCAGTGTAAATGTTATTTTATTTAGCCACAAAACATCCAGCAGCTCTTAAGAACTTATTCTTTTCAGTTCATAGTATGTTTAAATGTTAGGGTTGGTTTAGTAGGAGAGGGGAAATGAGGAAATAGATTTGAGAAGGGTATTAGAGCTGTTTGGCAAACTTTTAGCAAAAGTCTGTTTGAAACAAAAAGTAAACATGGTAAAGAGGAATGTTAGCCTTCATTGTTCCTTGTAACCGGACCCTTTGTACTTTATCAGGTCATAAAGCAGATCCCAAGAAACACGTGCTGATTATGGATGAAGTTGATGGAATGGCAGGCAATGAAGATAGGGGGGGAATGCAAGTAAGGATGATAATCATGTAAACAAAATATAGCGTTCCCATCTGCAGTTTTGTCTGTGTAGTTAAAAACTCGCCCCAGTTCCTTTGCGCAAACTGATCATTTGAAGCCGAACTTTTTTTTGAGTTACAATAGAATGAGATAATGTCAAAACTGTCCATTTTTGTCTTATTTTTCATCTTGCAAGCTCGGGTAATTTGAAGTGACTTTACTGAGAAATCATAGCCCTGACAAACAAACAAAGCAAGATAGTTTTTGCTACATAATAAGAATTTTTGACGATTGTTTAAGTTTGGAGCATTTTGCGCGCAACTAGGAAGAAAACACTTAGCATTACATGCAGGTACGCTGTTCGAAAACAAGCTCCGGATTACTCCCATCTTTTTACAACAGTTTTTTAATGTCCTATATTTGGCTGTCATTTGTGGCAAGTTTTAAAAAAATGTGGATAGTACATCATTTTCAAGGGAATTACCTTAACGTCATCTCTCATTAACGCGATCATCTGAATTGAGACAAGGATTTGATAACAGCTAGCATGATCTTAGGAGTCCTTTAAAGGCCTTAGTTTGTAAGGTTGTCCGGCTGGGGTTTGAACTTAGTGCCACCGGCGCAGCTGATCGACGTTCTTCCAGCTTAGTTTAACGGGGATTGTGGGCTTTCTTGTTTTTAAATTTGTGATGATCACCAACACCTATGAAAACGATACCTATCTAAGTTGAGGATTTGAGGATATCTTTTGACATCTGTTGTTGCATCCTCAACAGGAACTTATTGGACTGATAAAAAACACCAAAATTCCAGTCATCTGTATGTGTAATGACAGAAACAGTCAAAAGATCCGTAGCTTGGCCAACTATTGTTTTGACTTGAGGTTCCAAAGGCCTCGGGTAGAACAGATTAAGGTAAGTGTTGTCCGGCATTATTGAGTCATTTATTTTAAAGAAATTTGACTTTTTTTCTCATGACGATGTAAATGCATCACCTTCCTACATGCGGATTCTATTTGTTGGTCGGGTAGCCAATACAGGGGTTTTCCGCTCTACGGATGATCATGAGGTTTCTTTAGGATGAACTTGTTACAGAAACAGATGAGGAAAAAAGATGAGGAATAGACCTTATTCAAAATACCCGCCATCGTTGCACGCGCTTTAGGATTGATGGGATAAAAGCAATGTCACGTGGTATTTTAGGGGGCAAACAAGTGTTAAAATTTGCTACTACGAGTAGTCGCGGTCGAGTTTGATTATCCCCTCAAAACTATAAGGCAATATTAAATTTGCAAAATGTACAGTTCAAGTTTTCACAGGTCATTATTGCTTGCTGTGAGTACATCTACGGTCGCTACTGCATTAAAATAAGTAACAACGATCACTTCCACCCATAATTTGCTATTCTTGTCTTGAAGATGAAAAGTTCTTCATTCTCTGTTGTCTAAAATGAGCAAAAACAACCGCGATTCCTTTTATTGACAGATTTTATCACTTGTTTGCGCCCTGAGAAACTACATGACATTGCTTTTAACCCATCAGTCCTTATGCGCGTTCAAAGATGGCGGGTATCGTGAGTAAGCTCTATTGAACAACGTTTTCTAGGAAAATGTCTGTTTTATTTTTTGTATCGATAACACATGGTGTCCTTGAAGTTTTTTTTCTGGGAGCTCGCTTTATACGGACACTGTGGTAACCGTATTGAGCGGGTTCCACTAATAGCTCTTGGGAAGATCTGTAGATAGGCTATACTTTCTAAAAGTCTCTCTTGGTTTGGTCATCAGTCGGGAAAGAAAACAGACTTTCCTCCGGTGAAGCGTGCCATTTTTTTTTTTTTTTTTTTCGACCCGATTTTAGTACAGGGCGTTGACGTGTCGGGCTCGTACTCAGTAGCATTAGAACTGAAAAGTATAAGCGCTATATAAATATTTTATTATTATTATTATCATTATTATTAGCATTAACCAACAATCAGAGAGCATTATGTTGGGAAAAGAATTGTCCTGTGACTATATCAATTAAAGTACAGTAGATATAGTGTTCTCTTTTTCTTGTTCACCAGGGAGCTATGATGAGCATCGCTTTCAAGGAAGGACTCAAGATTCCTCCCCAGGCCATGGAGCAAATTATTCTTGGAGCCAACCAAGATGTCAGACAGGTTAGCTAAACAAACTTTTTTTGTTTTGAGGTGGGGGAGGGGTGGGGGATGGATGAGGGGGGTAGAAAGAAATCTAAATTTATTGTTCACGTGTAGGTCCATGTATTGTCGTTACAAATTAATCTTTAGATGGGAGAAGCGATTTCAGTTCTTTGAAATCTGTCACTTGGATCTCTCTCTTTTTTTAAAATATATTCCAAATTGAAAATTTCGTTGGTGGCTCTTATATTTCTTGTTGTTCTTTTTTGCGCCTGTATTTTCTTTTACTTTATTTCATTCAGGCTCTTTGTTGATTGATTTTTTGTCCTGTTTGACAGGTTCTTCACAATATGTCCATGTGGACTGCCAAGGAGAAGAGCCTTAACTACGATCAAGCAAAAGCAGAAGCTGCAAGGGCCCAAAAAGATATTAAAATGGTAAAGCAATTTATTCAAACTACTGTATTTCAATTTACCGAGTATGTAATCACTACCTTAGTGAAGTGGACAGACCGCTTCCTGAATATTTTTATGATTAAAGTGGACACTGTTGGTCATATTTTTCTCTGTGGCACTAATATAGAGTAGAGTAGTAACATAATTTTACGTAAACTACCGTGAATCAGTAGTTTTTGATTTGATTGTAATATGTTTTGCAAAGCTTTAAACGAATATTGAGCATACGTGACAGCTCTGTTATGTAAGTAAGCGATTACTGTCTCTAAACCAGTATTTTCCCTGTTGAAATTTAGACGCATATAAATTTTACGGGTTTCAGCCATTTTTTCTGCAAAATATAAACTGCTGAGGTATAGTAGCAGTTCCCTAAACACAGCTTTTTTTTGCAGGGTGCTTTTGATGCCGTAAGAAAACTTCTCTCAGGAAATGAGAGTTCGAAGATGAACCTGAGTGAAAAATCAGACATGTTCTTTTGTGATTACTCCATGATGCCACTCTTTGTGCAGGAAAACTATGCACTGGTTGACCCTGGACAGTCCCGGTAAGTTTATAACAAGTTTTAAAATCTTCTAAGAAATACCCACTCTGTAATTTTTTTTTTTGCCCCGTTAGTCGGTCCTTAACCGATCCGGCTTAAAGTAGGACGTAGTTTTGCAGAGCTCCGGCACAAAACTAGAACAGAAAATAGGGTGGAACCCCGTTAATACGGTCACCAATGGGCCAAAAAAATTGGCCGTATTAACAAGGGTTTTTTTACAAGAAACTGTATGGCGGTTTTTACTAGGCGGCCAAAAAGAGTGGCCGTAATAACGAGGTGACCGTATTACCGAGGTGGCCTTAAGGCGGTGTTTCACTGTAGTGTTCCATGTGTGAACAAAGGCTCACCCCACGTAAGGGAATCCAAGACAGTCATGGATTCTGGATTCCACGCCGTGGATTCCAGATTCTTTGTCAGTGGAACTTGGATTCTGGATTCTAATCGTCAGTGGGATTCTGGATTCCTTCAGCTGTATTCCGGATTCCAAAGCCCAAGATTCTGTATTCCACCGGCACCAGATAAAATTGCCGTATTCCAGATTCCAGATTCCTTTTTATAGGGCGAAACGGCCTAGCCGATATAGTTCCTATGACGGCTTATCGTGTGAACATGGCCAAACGCTTGATCTAAGGTTTTTATACCTACAAGAAAATAAATAACATTTTCTTAAAGTTCCATTATTATTTATTATAATGGATGCCAAAAATCATAGAAATCGGTTAAATCTTTCATTCTGAAAAACGCAAATCAAAAACATAACCAACACGCATATAAATAGGTTCTGGCCACCTTAAGCTCCCTAAAGGTTGATTTCCACTGTCGCATAACTTTTTCGTGCGAACGCACGCAAAATTTACGCACTTAAATAAATAAAGGCAATGTATGAAAGGTCACGCGTAAAGGTAAAAGTTGAACCTAACTCAACTTTTACGTTTATGCATCAGTCAATTCCAGCTGCGCCCGCATCCCCGCTGATCCCCCGGGAATTAGCTTTTTTTTTTTGGCCTTGGATGGCAATTTCCCGGGGGTGGGGACTCTTGAACTGTCAAATTCCCCGTGGTGGGTACGAAAACAGCGGGCAAATGCCCCGTCCTCCGTCAACACTGCAGCATTTTTCATTGATCGCACAGTCGAGTAGTGCCATTTTAAGCATTTTAATGTTCGATTTCTTTTTTCAATTAACGTCTCCCTTCCAATCCTTTGTAATGGTGCTATTCTAATTAAGACTTCACGCCACGACGACACCAGTTTATGGTTTTAGTATTGTTATAAAATTATTGACATTAAAATTTAACTTAACTGTTATGAATAGTTTCATAAACCTCTATAAATATGAAAGGATGTTTTTTAAATAATATCAACAGAAATTTGATTCAATAACCAAAAAAAACGTTGATTCACATCGATAGCTCCCAATTTCGGTATGTACTTCTGGTTTGATAAGCAATGAAGACATGCATGCATAAAATCGAGAACATGCCTTTGCAAATCTCTTCATTTTTTTTCCCGTCCTTGACAGATGAGCCAATCTTCTTGTTTTTCCACTAAAACCCTCTGTGTAGTTATATTCTAATAGGAAACCGCGTGCGTGTCAAAATCTCGGGGTTGGCAAATGCCTAGCCTGTTCCAGGCTCCGAGAAAGTCGGGTCCGCTGAATTGAGAAAGCGCAAACACGAAAATAAACCGGGAGGAAACTGGGGAGAGCACTATCTGAGAGCCTGGAACAGGCCAGCAATGCCCGACCCCGAGGCAGCGCAAAATTCACAAATGCCACACCCCCCGGACTTACAAGGCGGCAAATGCCCCGCAATAGCCCGGGCGGGGCGGGGGGGCGCTGGGCGAAGCTGCAATTGACTGATACATTACGCGTTACCTTTCATACATTGCCTCTATTTCTGAATTCGAATTTCGCACTAACCCTGGGTTATCGTAAGCCAACTTTGAACAACTGGGCACGTGATTTAGAGAAATATAGTAGATCAAACGGAAACAACGCGATGGAAAGGCTTGAACGCGGACCTGTAGATTCAAAGTTCAAGGTGTTAACCGCTCGGTCACAACGCCTCACCCCCTTAGTTAAGTGGGCAATTTATTGGATATCGCTTAATTTTTTCGCATCTGATACATATTACTTCCCTGTGTTTTATTTAGTGGTGATTTAAAGAAGACGCTGTCTCTACTAAGCAAGACTGCTGACTCCATCTGTGATGGAGATTCGGTTGAAAAGCTTATCAGACAGAATGGACATTGGTCTATGTTGCCGATGCAGGTACGAGTCAGAAGAAGTTTTAACGAATCTTTCAGATCTGCAGTGAATTTATATGGTAATTTTTGCTGGAAGTAGAAGTATTAGAATGAACCGTACATCCTGTGTAGCCAGCAGAAGTTGACTCTCGTTATTTTCATCACCATCGTCATCGTCATCGTCGCCACCATCATCATCATCATCATCATCATATACATTCCCCAAAAGTAATGATAGCAACATTTCAGGTTAAAACACCGTAGTTTTCAATTGAATTTTTGTCCTTAATATTGCCAGGCAGTTTTTTACATGAGGAAACTTTCAAAGTTTGATTTTAAGTGACGCGACACGAGGAAACATGTGTTTTTCAAAAACGTAGTGTTCCGCGCGTTTTTGCTTTTTGTTCCTTTAATGGCTTTAGGAACAACCTAGGAACGCACAATATAGGAACTTTATTTGCACAATAGGAACAACGGTCGGCAAATTTCGGAACAATCTGGTCCGTTAGCAGCAAATTGGAACACAAAGTTCCTTTTCATTTCAGTCAGAAGGAACAACTGGTTCCTCTTTGCTCTTTTCAGAAACAAAAGGTCCTCTTTCAACAGTTCCGATTTCCCTTCATGTTCCTTTCGAAGTGATTGGGGAACAAATGTTCCCAATCTAATTTCTCACTCTACACAGTAAGGAACAAATTGTTCCTATTTACTGGCATATCCACTGCTGTTCGGAACACCTTGTTCCCTTTCGGTTCAAATTGTTCCTATTCATGCCCAACAGGAACGGAATTGTTCCTAATCGAGGTGGTTTTTTGTTCCTCAAAATGAGTGTTATGTTCCGCGTATAAATGGGAACAGGTTCCGAATTTGNTGAAAGGAAGAAACATCATTATCATGCATGCCTGTTTATCATTGCCAGGGAAAAGGACATACACTGTGCTTACGCGAGTTCAACAAAGTTAAGAGACGAGCTCCTATGACTTCAAAATCAAATATTGCGACGATTTCGACTCGCAGTTAGAGCGATTAAAAAAACTCTTCAAAACATAGCAATGTCTTACAACAAGACTGATCAGCGAATCTGTCGCTTGAGTTTTTAGCTTAAAAGCTGACTTGTCATTGCAGATTTCCTTAGAAACACAAGCATATTGTAGCTTAAATTGTTGCTTTTTAGTGGTGTTTTGTCCTTTAGTTTTTCTCTGATAAATTGTCCACCCCTTTCCAAATAGTACCTCTGCAAGTAAGCTGTCCATGGCATTAGATTACGTCCCCCATCTTAGGAAAGTTCTAACAACGCCTCTTATGGCACAGGTATGGACAATTTTTGATCTTGCTTTAACGTTTTAGAATCTCTGTAAAAGGAGAGTAAACTTTATTCATACCCATCGCTAAAAGGCTCTTCAGTTAGTTCTGTGAGCAGCATTCTGCTTTGCCAAGCAAGCCAAAAAGACGTATTTGGGTCAACATACTATTCGAATAATGGCAGAGTATCGTCCTAATTATTAGCAAAGAGAATTACGGCTTCGCCTAGAATGTAGACTGTTCACATTCCCCTATTCTTCCGTAAACCGTCGAGATCGAAGGCTTTGCGTTACGGGCGGTCATCTTGCATGAGTGTCAAAAGTATTTAGGGGGCGGGGGACGGTTTGGGAGGGGGCGAGAGAAAAATTCACGCCTCCCTCCCCCTAGAGCTATAATCCCCGACGACCGCCCCCTCGGTGCATTTGAAAATCTAGATGGCCGCCATTAACGGTAGGTCGCGCTGTATCGAAGATCTCACGGAAAAATAGGGGACTGTGAACAGTCTACCTAGAATGTCATGAATGAGACTAAAATTTCTGAAATGCGAAATAGCAGGGTCTTGTTTTTCTTTGATAATAAACGTTGTAATCCTCTCCAGATAAAAATAAATAAATAAACAAAACAGAAACTTACTTGTAAGGAGGGAAGTTTCTCCAAACACACATTCGTGATCAAAGTCCTTTTACAATGGCCCTTTAAATACATGAAGCTAGTGCTGTAATTTCCGAACATCTCAAGAGCTCGAGAGCCTTTCATTGGCGTCAAAACAAAGTGTGTAAAAACTGATTGATTCGTTAGGATTCGGCTGAGATCAATTCCGGAGTGTCCAGAGTAATTCAAGTGATGGAAGATTATGATCTGACCAAAGAAGATTGGGATTCCATCATAGAAGTTGGCCAGTTTGAAGGCCAAAGAGATCCTGTGGCGTCAATCCCGTCTAAGGTGCGTATCTTTTTTTTTATTCTAAACTTCATTCAAGATTTTGATAATGTGAAAGGATTGTAGGGCCCCAATCGGCGACAAAATCAGTTGAAGGAGTTATAATGCCCCAAAGGGCCTTCGAACCTTCTATTCCGTCTAAGGTGCGTATCATTCTAAACTTCGTTCAAGATGGTGGTAATGTGAAAGGATCGTTGTCGGTCCCCAATTGGCGACAAAATCAGTTGAAGGACTTAGATGCCCTAAAGGGCCATTTAGACTAACCGCTTTAAAAGAAAAAAGAGAAGTTTTCCCTCCCCCACCCACTCTAAGTAATGTTGTGCCGCTGTTCAAGCTACACGTAGGAAGTGACATTCAACTCAACTTGAAATTGGGGCGGGGGTGGAGGGAGGATGTAGTTTGTTTGTTTGTTTCTTTCATTTTGTTTCTTTTTTTTTTTTTTTTGCGAAGTAAACACCATTCGTAATCGTCGCAAACATTTTGTCGCCGACTGTTTATTCAAAGGCCTTTCGTAACTTGCACTGAAGGAGAGCGACATCATCACCCTTTCACTCCTAACAATGGCCAAAGAAATTGACATGGTCAAGGAAACCCTGGTAGTGTATATAAAGAAGGTTCATGGATCGTAAAGTCGCTTTTTCCTTATCGAAAATTTTACTGTATTGTGTCAGTGATATTTGGTTCCGTTATGTTCACCGTTAGCTATTTAACGTTCCTGTGTAGGTAAAAGCGGCGTTTACACGCTCATATAACAAGGAAAAACATAAAACGCCGTACGCTATCCGCGCGGCGCCAAAGAAGGGAAGAAAGGGCGGCGCAGGGGAGGATAACCAAGGAATGGACGAAGAAGGCCTTGAACAAGAAGGCGAGGAAAATAGTCAAGAGAAGGATGATATTGAGAATGATGCAATGATCAAGGCTACTAAGAAACCAACCAAAGGAGGGAGCGCAAGAGGAAGAGGAGGGAAGGGAAACAAGGATGCAGCCAAAGAAACGACGAAGGGCAAAGGAAAGGGAAGAGGAAAGAACCGAAATTAATCAATATTAAAAGTGCAGAAGAGAATGAAAGAGCGAAATTGTATCGAGAGAATGGGAATTGTTGCTCAATAACAATAGAGAGTACGGAGTTTCTAACGAAAAAAATACGACAGAACTGAATGTACTGTAGAGTGAATTGAATAAGATAATTGCAAGACTTAACAGGAGAATGGCACTTACAGATCGCCTCCGGTCACGGTGCCACTCAAAATAAAAAAAAATACCTCTTTTTTATACATGTAACTATAGGTTATTGTGACCGTGACATTTCACATAGTCTCCGAAAGAGATCGCGTGAGTCCAGAGTACTTTGGTTTAGGACGTATGAGTAACGGTAACACAGACTGCGTGGCTACCTTTTTCTTATTGAAAGTGAAATGGGCGACTGCGCCGCGCATGAAGTGAGCTTGGAATTGGGAAAATCGAGAGGATTACTCTGTCCATACACCGTACGTTTCGAGGGATCATGAATATGACAGGGGCCTGTAACAGGAGCAAAATCATAATGTTTGTACCCTCAGAAAATGTTATGAGGATATTCATTCAGTGTCTCTTATTGGTTCAACTATTAATTTCGTTGCAAAGACGTGTTAAACAATTTACCTACCCTTTTGCTCCCGGAATATGCCTTACAGATCAAGTTCAGCAAGTTGAATTTCGTGGGACAGATATGTAACACGACATAAAATTGTTTAAGCGCATATCATATCTCTGCAACGAGTTCGGCTACATATCTCTGGGTCATGTTCTGCAATATATCCCCTGGACATGTCCTGCAACATATCCCCGGGAGATACTCTGCAGGATATGTCTGGGCCGTGTCTCGCAATATGTCCAAGGGAGATGTCCCACCAATATATCCTCGGGACTTTTCCCTGTCATGTGGCCTTCCTTGTTTCCCAACCGTTAACCTTGATAAGGTAAGGTAAGACATTAGAACTAGAAATCGCCGTATTGTTAACACAGTGATAAAGAAAACAATGGAAGAAACTTGCTTACTGAATTGTGTTCTTTTATTGTTTTTACAGTTACGTAGCTAACGGACAAACGAGTTTTAATAAGGCTTATTGGACAGAAAATAGGAAACACATTACAATATTATATAAGAACATAAACAGCTTAAAAAAAGTTACGTGCACAAAAAATTGTTTCAGAAGTGGACCAGAGAAATATTAAAATTCCCTGCGTCCTGTTTGTATGCAGTAATAAACTTGTTTTTGTGTCTGATCCATCTACACTGTAAAGGTATATATTAAGCTTTACCCAGTTTAGAGGATGTTATCCTCTCCTCGTGTACTCGTTAGATATATTTGGCACTTGAATGACTTGCCTTTCCGCCTAATTGTGGAGTCTAGATCAATTGGTACCCGAGTGTAAAGTAAGGTAACGAAAAGGCGCAAACGAGCCAAAGGCCCTTACGGCCGGAGCTTATCCTGGTTTCTTTAGCATGAAGCATGCCTAGGAGTATTGCTACTGCTCTTAATTACCTTGTTTGCTCGTCATAACATCGTTTTAATGCCATCTCAAACTGCGTGCCCTTAAGAAACGGATATTATCATTCTTTCCTGTAAACTACATCAAAGTGTGGAGGTATGCCCGCCGGTGGTCAAAATGCGTCCCACACATGAAACTTGCTCCTACAAGTCTCGTGTGGAGTGTGTGTGGTGTATATTCTAAAACGGTAAACTAATTTCAGACCAAAATATATAAACTCCTGTACCCTACTTCAGACTAAAACTGCTCCTGTCTAAAGCTGGGGTATAGCTTCCTTATACGCACTTGCGCCCGTGCGTACAGCTGAAATCTGGAAAAAAATTTCCTGGTGGCATTTTCTTCATTAAATCGGGATGACTGGTTAATTTTCAGCATTATATTAGTGTCTTTGTGTTAGTATTCGCTTTACCCTCTTTTATTCCATAAACGGACGGCAAGAAACGTTATGGTGGGGTGACAGAGGAGAGATTGGGCTCTCTTCCAATTCTGTACATATACCAGCACAAGGACGATGATATTGATGGCGTTGTAACAGGGTTTGCCGATTTGAAGGGTACACATCTCGCCCTTTGCTTTTAAACTCGTAGATAACGTCACTGTTTTACCCTTTTTTTGCTGCTGCTGTACACTGTACCTGAACTTACCGATAACACTAAAGATGGGTAAAATAAACAACTAATTCATTATCCTTCTTATTTATCTACTGAAATAGAAAAACACAGGAAACGGCATTTTCGAGACCCTAAATTTAAAAGTTTTCAGGAGCAGTATACCCCCAGAACCCCCTAATTTTGAACGCCTTTTCCGCTCTAACTTTTCTTCCATGCGTTCACTTTCAAAATCTCTCGCTACGCCCCTGTGAACACAAATGAAAGGAAAACAATGTACAGTAGGCCATTTTACAGTTGTGTGCTCAGTGCCATGGCCTTTGAATAGAAGCGATGTAGCATTGTTTTCTACAAACCCTTTTGTTTTTCACGTGTAAATGATAATGTTCACAGGCTTGTTAGCATTAAAATAATACGATTTGTGCATGGAAAGCAAGTATAGATTTTTGGACTTTTTATTTGTTAGAAGTAAATTGTAGATATGTTAGCGGGAGCTTCTCTTTTGGCCTTGAGATCAACGCATTTGCGATCATTGTCTGTTCAATGGCGGGTCTAAGAGATTCTCACCATCTCACTCACTTTCGCCTTTAAGTATTGCAATACTTTTGTAATAACGCAGCATCCTCGTGTGATGTTTGCCTCAGAGCGACTTATCTCTCCTCTGATTTGACTAAAATAGAGGGCATCATTAAGGGAGTTTTTCAGTGTTGCACATTGCATGTAGATTTGTTATCACAAGTGGCGCTCATCGCGCAATACAAAGTTGCCTATGTTATTGAATAGAGATTAGGAATTGTGGAAACGGTTCAGCGATAAAGATTCTCGAAGTCCACAGAAAACAGCACAAATATGCATTTTAAAACCAGCTCGGAACTTTCTTCAGTAAACTTCCCAGTGGAGAGCATTACGACCATGAAAATGAGGCAGTAACAGGGTTGAAGGTCTCCTCTGGATATCATCTTCATAATTCGTAACGATCAGCTAAAAGATATAAACATGAAGGATAAAAACCAGGCTGAAGAAAGCAAAGCCTATTTTGTACTTCAGCGATTTTGCCTGTTTAAACTAAAAGCAAATCTATCAAGCAATTTTAGAGAATAATTATTTCGTAGAAGACTGAAGAATTGGCATATAACCTTCATCATCTAACCATGGCCACTAGTTCGTTCATGAAGTGCATTAATTATGAACCTGTCAGACTTCTTTTTTAAATGTTTTTGTTATTTTTGTTTTTAACTTGGCCTTTGACAGCGTTCTTTCGGCCATTTCTGTCAGTTTAAACTTACTGACCAATCAGAAACCTCTTAATTATTTATTCACTGGTCGTGAACACAGAACAAAAGATTCTGCTCGTTCTGGGAGGGATGTTACTAGACGGGAAACGGGGAATGGGAAAATGAAAAATGGGAACCTAGTCAATTTGAAGCTTAGCCCTATCAGTTACTTCATTTCCAGTTCTCTATTTTGTTCCCATTTTTCAATTTTCTGTTCCCCGTGCTCGTTCTCCGTTCCACTTTCCAGGTTGATAGGGAGCTTAAGCAACAACGACGGCGACGGCAACGAAAACGTCACTTAAAAAGTAAAGTTGCGCAGCTTCAAACTTTATCGCGCTTATTCTAACCCTATTGCTTTTTTTTGCCGTTCTCGTTGCCGTCGCCGTCGTCGTTGCTTAAGCTCCCTAAGAACATAACGTGAACTGCAGTAACGTCGTTTCAAACTTTTAATTTTGCTGCCTTTCATGACCATGAGTTAATCTATTTCTTACAAAAAAAAATCCTTTCGTAGTTTATTTCATTTTACACAGCTTTTTTTCGTCTGACCAAAAAGGCAGAACGATGAACCTCCAAATACCGTCAAACCTTTACGTGCGACCACCACCTAGATCCTATGGTATGGCCACAACCCATATAGTCCAAAACACCAAACTTTTTCCAGTCAATCCCTATAATCCGAACTTCTCGTAAACGATAACAGGGCTCAGCTGATAAGCGACCGCAACTGAGACCACGTTTTGGGGCTGACGGTTCAATGATTTCCCATTGCTTTAAACCTCTTTTAAGGACGGCTTGTCTGATCTCTATGTTTTCTGTCTGTACTATGCTACCTAGAATATACGAACTTTTAGCAGCAACATGGAACTCCACATGATTTCGTAACTTAAAAATTGCATGCAATCAATTAACTTTCATAAACTAGACGTGTCCGGACATTTCCTCAGAAGAGATCCCCTGTGCTTCTTTTCTCATAAGTTATCACCTCTCTTAAGCGACCACTATACTAAGTCTTTGCGTTTTGACTGTGTCAATTAATTTTTTTTTAGTACTCACCGTCTCTAATGGAACATCGGTATAGTTCCAATCTAAGACAAGGCTTCTGGTTCCAATTAACTGGATTTATTCGTACATATCGAGCTGTGACTGAGGGTTCTATTGGATTTGGCTCCACAATTAATGGATGAGAATTACCAATGAATATCTGAGAATGTTATGAATAGAAAACATTAGTAACCTGAAAGTGAGATCAATCTCGGTTAACTTTGTTAGACAATAGTTCAACGACACAGCAGTTTGATCTAAACTGAGAAGAAAGACGGAATCAAGAGTAACTTAAAGGTGCTATTTTATATTATTTACTACCTTTTTAAAAAGCTAAACCTTTTTTCCCATCAGTTGAATTCCAGACATAATGGTCCAGATTTGTTATTGAAGACTGTACTTAGGTTTTGAAACTGTTTCGTGTCGTCTATTACAACGGATGACAAGGATGGACATGGATAATGACACTTAAAAAAAGCTGTGCACGCTTTCAATTTTTAATACTTCGACTGCAAAAATCGCCAAAACAAATTATTATGGTTAGTGCTCGCTAATGAAATTTGCGACTTGACATCTTCATGGTAACTGGACTGGAGCAGTGTGTGTATGGGTAAAGGCACTAAGTAATGACGTCACTACAGAATTGACTTAGAACAACAATATCCTCGTGACGTAACCCCTTTAAAAAGCATACAAAGCCTAAATCTGCATACAGATATACAGTACCAGTAGCATCAGCTGACAATAGGCCAATTAAATTTTGAGCGGGGGACTGGATCGGTGTCGTATCGAATTGTATTATGGGACTGTTTTGGGAACGCTGTCTCTTACGAAGTTGTGCGAGAAACTGGGTTGAAATTCTTCTTCCAAGTCTGTCCCATAGTGCAATTCGACATTAAACCCACCCAGTCTCCAGCGCAGCCTCCAAATTGCTAGAACCGTCATTTTCTTCCTTCTTTTATGTTTTAGTTATAGGTCGTGTTGATAGAAATGAAATTGTAACAGCTTCCAAGAATCTTTCACTGATCCTAAAGCCAATTTATTTATTTGCTAGGTTAAGGCACCTTATTTTTCCTTTTTTTTCTCCTTTGCTTTCTCCATTTCCACCTAAATATCAATTCGGGTTTTTTTTTTTTGTTATTTGTTTCGCCTAAGTGTACTAAATAGGACAAAAGCTAGAGAACGCACTCCTCCACGCTGACCTTAGTTCTCGATCCATCTCCAGTGTAGTTAAACCATGTTTTCCCATCCAGGCTGAAACTCATCGCAAATGATCTCACAAACCAGTATTTCCCGTCTTGGATATCTTTGCCTTGAGTAGCCACACCTTTTATTTCGTCTGGATAACCAAGATCAACTTCAAGATATGGATTTTTATCATCACTGAAATATAAAACAAAAGCAGATAGCACACATAACTTTTTTACCGAACAGAATCATACGTGTTTGCTGTCCATTTGTATCAAGAAGTTCACAAAATAAGTAAGTAATGGGGCCATTTATACCAGCAAAAATTTAAGAACCGTCTTAAGACGCGAAATGTACCAGCTATACGAACATATCTTATATAAGCGCGAGAAACTCGTATAAATGATTCGCGTCTTTTTTGCCAGTAGCAACTTCAATCCGCTTGGGAAAATGACGCATGAGAACTATGCGTTCACCTCTGTAAGACGGGAAGGTCATTTAGGGTGACTTTCCACTGTTGCGTATTTTTCTTATGCATACTGAAGAAAACTTTACTTGGCTTTACTTGAGTAAATATGAATTCCTCTTCTTGTTATTTAACAACTAGTTATGAGGTATGATCCTGGCATAAAAATACCGTTTCTCACTCAAGCTGATCTGCGAAGGCTAAAAGTGGCTTATAGATGGAGAATTTATTTTTTATCCATGTAAACCACTTTTTAACTGGAGGAGATCTTATGATACGATGAGAGCTCTTTCAAAATCCTTTTACAGGCCGTTGCCCCATTCTCCTACGTTATTTATTTCACATATTTACATTGACGATTCTAGAATGTTTAATGGTGCCTCAATCCATGAAATGTGATTGTAATGAGGCATTTAACGTCCTTACCTTCTTGGACACCAAGCACTAGTCCTGTTCCGTAATCTTCCATAAGGTGCTGCATAATTACTGCCAGGCATAGAACTACTGCTCAAATGCGAATCACCCATCAGGCCGGTTTGCAGGCCATAGGCACAATCTGAAAAAGTTGTGTGGTGATGTAAAATACTGAGCAACCAAATGATCAGGAGTATACTCGTATCTAGGAAAACACTGCATGCGCTAACACTCGGCTGAAATATCTTTGTTGTTCTTTGAGGGTGGGAGGAGAAACCAGAAAATCCGACTTTAAAAATGAGTGCGCGAATAAGTGTTAAAGGAGATAACATCTGGCTTTGAATCCGCCCGAAATTGGTTAGCGTAATAATATAACTAATTTTTAAAGATATTTTTAGAGACCTTTAGATTCGAAGACGAGGACAACTACGGGGACGGGATGTTCTCATTATACGTTTCTGGGAAACTGCACACCTGCCCCTCCCTTAAGCCAATATTTTGCCCTAAGTGAGAAGTAAGGTTTAATGTTGGTTTCGGGGAGGGGTAGGTGGGCAGTTTCCCAGAAACGTATAATGATCCATGCTGATAGGATTATTATCTTGTCCCGGAAAGCTCCATACTACTTTTTCTTTCACGTGAAAAGTTAGCATGGTTATTTTTATTGTAGGCGGGTAAGCCCTCTTCCGAACGTAAAATGATAAAACTTCAAACATTTGATAACTTGTTTCCTCTACTACGACATTTTGACCAAAACCCGTCGTAGAAAGACGACGGCTATCACGTTTTCCCGCCAAAATGACGCTCACGAGCGCGTTCCACTTAGTATTGGGAATATCTTGTCCTATTTACTAGGAGTAATGGGAGCTTAGGAGACTGCGTTCATCATGTTTGTAAGGCGAACAGGTAGCAGTTGAGGAGGAAGGGTGGATGGTTATTGCGATAGATTAAGCCCGGTTTCCATATGATCGCTGCGATCGCTGAGAAAAAGAAGTTCAGCGATCATATGGAAACCATTCTCCAGCGATCGCTGAGATAGAACTTTTTATATCTCAGGTGAACGCTGAGGACACACGAATCACCATGTGAGTTAGTGCGTCAAAGTGAGGCAAAACGTAAGCAAGCGCCTCAAAGCGAGGCAAATGTGTGTCGACACAAATGCAATCTCAAAAAAACTCGCTTATTAATTGCACAGGACACCCAACAATGCACAGAAGCCCAACAGAAATTAGGGGTTGCGNAGACGACGGCTATCACGTTTTCCCGCCAAAATGACGCTCACGAGCGCGTTCCACTTAGTATTGGGAATATCTTGTCCTATTTACTAGGAGTAATGGGAGCTTAGGAGACTGCGTTCATCATGTTTGTAAGGCGAACAGGTAGCAGTTGAGGAGGAAGGGTGGATGGTTATTGCGATAGATTAAGCCCGGTTTCCATATGATCGCTGCGATCGCTGAGAAAAAGAAGTTCAGCGATCATATGGAAACCATTCTCCAGCGATCGCTGAGATAGAACTTTTTATATCTCAGGTGAACGCTGAGGACACACGAATCACCATGTGAGTTAGTGCGTCAAAGTGAGGCAAAACGTAAGCAAGCGCCTCAAAGCGAGGCAAATGTGTGTCGACACAAATGCAATCTCAAAAAAACTCGCTTATTAATTGCACAGGACACCCAACAATGCACAGAAGCCCAACAGAAATTAGGGGTTGCGTTCTCGTACCTCAAACGCAATAACGAAGAGAAACATTTACCAGGATGTGGGAATGTGAACACCCTGTCGTACGCGTCTGATCCCTCCATGCATTTTTTACCCAAGGACACAATATCTCCTTTAGCTGGGGTGTTGCCGCTGATGGACTGTAAGCACATTCCCCCGGTACGATATTGAATGGCTTTGCCCTGAGCCATGCCTTGAGTCTTTTGAAATCTAACAACAACCAGATAGAAAGGTTTATGTTAAAGTTAGAGACCATTTCTATAATTCTTTTGTAAGGGTAATAGGGGGTACTTAACTCAAACTAGAAGGTTATCCTCTATCATTTTCTTTTGGCCATTTGTGTTTAAACATAATAGAGGAGACTGATTATAAAAGGCGGCGAACAGCAAAGACAAAGACAACGGTACTGCAGTTTATGATGGGAGCTCTCACACTATACACAAATCCTTTGTTTTTTTGTGCACAAATTGTGACCGAATGAATTACTGGGATAAAGTGCTATTGAGTGTTATACACAGTCAAGTTCACAAGTAAATATAACAAAGAAGTCTAACTGGCTTCATTTCTCTCGTTTTCTCTTTATACCAAAATTTTCAGGAGACCTTTATATTCGCCATATCTTGGTATTAAAATGTGAATAATACAACCTCCGAAAATTGTAGCTGGGGTAGTAGGTAACCTCCAAATATCTTAGACGAATGGAACGGATGCCCAAAATGTTTTAGCTTTTCGCGAGCTTTTTAAATTTCTGGGCAATGTTCGCTCCTTCGAACATTTATTTCACACTGGAAAAAAGTTGTTGGGTGCCCGTGATCATAGTTTCTTAATTCCGCTTTATTGTTTTCAACGTGTGATACAAATCTAACCTTTGAGTCTGGTCATCACAGGCATAAGAAGACAGCCCCACCGGGGTCCACTCAGTAGGCACGCCACTACTGTTCAGCGGCCTAACACACATCTCTGAGCATGCGTGCTGGAGAGTACCGTCGTCGCGTAGTAGAAACCACGTGGAGTCGCTTATACAATCCGAGTCGAATACAAGGGGTTCTGATTCACTGGCAGTACATGAGTGGTGTTTTGGACTTAAACATAATCCGTTAGGGCTTCGAAGTGGGCTGTGCTTAGGGAAACCTGAGCAGGAGAGTGTCATTGCAAATAAAAGTAAGGAATTGTAACTTTAAGGCTTTGAAACAAACTGACAATTAAGGTATTCTAGTGGAATCCGGAATAGAGGAATTTGGAATCCGGAACTAAGCTCAATGAACACAGAATCCCACTGACGATTCGAATCCCTAATCCAAGTTCCACAGACAAGGAATCCGCAATCCACAGTAAGAAATCCAGCATCTAAAGCTTTCTTGATTACTTAACATGGTGCTTACATTTTCTCTGTTAATTAGGAGCGAATTTTTGAGCTCCTCGATTAGCCAACATTAAATGTAAGGTATTTAAATTCATTGACATTAACTCTTATAATGGCCAAACTTATTTAGGCCCATTTATGTCCAAGGTTAACCGTACAGGAATTCATGCCATAAGTGCCATGAAATAAACTCCATGTAATACAAGCCAAATCCACGGTTTGTATGTTTAGAGCTGCGGCTAACTGACTTTCAGTAGTGTGGGTCTGTGAGCTTGTTGCTGTTTTTTGACCAGCCGTTATTAGGGAGCTTAAGCAACTACAACGACGACCACAACGACGACTTCAAAACAACAATAGATTTAATGACCAAAACAACAACTCTGCACGTGCGTCACGCTTTTTAGTGCATTTCTTTGACGTCCACTGCACGACTACGACGTGAAACCTCCTAATTTGACGTTTTATGGAGGACGTGGACATGAGACGACGACTTTTCCTTTATCTTTTTGAAGCTGAATAAAATCCTTACGAATTCAACTCCAGGAAAAGTCGCCTGTATTTCACATATTGAGCGGGTCCAAATAGACGCGATTAAGTTTGAAAGAACGCAAATTCATTTCTTTACCGACGTTTTCACTGCCGTCGTCGTCGTCCTTGCTTAAGGTCCCTGATAAGGATATATCGCCCACCATCAGGTAAGGGAATCCGGGTTCCGGAACCCAGGAAATCGATAATCCTGGACTTTGGAATCCGTAATAAAGCTAAAGGAATCAGGAATCCCACTAACAATTGTAATCCGGAATCCAAGTTCCACTGACAAACAATCCGGAATCCAGTACATGGAATCCGGAAACCATGGCATGGAATCCAGAATTCCTTTACATGGGGGGGAGGGGGAGGGGAGATATACTTACCGTCACATGGTGGCCATGGCTTACACACGAATGTCTCACGTGGAGGACCTAGCCTGGAACAATCTTTTCCACCGTTGGCGGGGCGTGGATTGTTGCAAAACCTCCCACGGACTTTGAACCCTGTGCTACACGTCCTGCTACATTCACTCCAGGCTGACCATGAACTGTATCCACCATCAGCTAAGGGAGGGAAGTGATTATGGTAAAGAGAATCGTAACCTGGTGCTAATTAATTTTGACGGTGAAATTTTGGAGCTGTAATTTTAAAACACCAGATACCGCCGGTGGCCTCAATTTTAAACCATACAAAAGGAAAGTGCTTCAGTAGCAACACGTTTCTGCACCATGGTGCTTCTTATGCAAAGTATGAGAACGTTTTTCGCGCACAAGAAGTAAAACATAGATTCCTGAATACTAGAGTTGTTTCACACTGGTTCCAAGTCCATCTCCTGTGTAATGCTTTTCACCAGTCTACCGATGTTCGACGATGTCTTGGCTGTCTGTCCTAAAAGTTTTATCTTTATCTTTTAAGTCTTATCTTTGATCTTTTACTTCGTTGAAAATTTATATCTAGATCAGATTAGAGCCGGAGCAAAGAAACCGCTGGACATTCGTCTTCATGAGTTAAGGAAGGATTTATCAGGTTGATTGGCTCAGATAGAAGTCAGTACCTGGCAAAGGAAGTTGAACGGGGCAACCAACGTCTGGCTCCTTGTATGCTAAAAGACAAAAAAAAGTTTATATTACACGAGCTGTTAGAGCAAGTTGTTAATACAAAAAAGAAGTTTTAGATCATAACGACTTTGACCTTGATTCGAACAGGTTGTTAGTTTTCCGTTGGGGGAGGTTTACATGCGCAGAAAAGTTCAGAAAAAGTTTTCCTTTCCAGTTTCTACACTTCATCGCTTTAAGCTCCTACCATTTTATATATTTCCAGCAGATGTAGTTGAGAGATTAAATTATTTTCATATCTCGGTTACAGAAAAGGAAACCGTATCTCTGGCTTCGCAGTTAGCCTCGCTTTGAAACGGAGACTTGATGCACTCGGAAATGGCCTACTTGCCCAGGCGACCGTCACAGCACCTTAATTAATTTTTGTCTAGATTATATCGGCATGCGAGTATATGGCGCTAAGGCCGCGGTTTATGCGACTAAAATAGGATATTCCACAAAATTATTTCTTGGTAGGCGTTATAGATACCGGTCTACACTTTTTCTTGTTAGCCAATAAAAACACACCTTTCTTGTTCTCTTTTAACCAGTACCAGATTCGCCCGGGGAAAGGCATCTTTTCATATATCCAGGGTGAAGGCCAATTCTTCTGGGTCACTATGGTACCCCAGGGAATTTCTTGTATCATTCTGTTGTTTGTAGTTAGTAATGCAAACTCGTCCCCTTTCGGTAACCAAGGCATGCGGTTGCTAATAGCAAAAGGACCACTTGTCCAATTGTCAAACTTTTTTATCAAAGATACACCAGTTAAATTGCTAAATGTCCCAGTAAAAGTGTAGTGACTTGGAGCCTGCCATACTCCGCCCCAGCGGCCAACCTCTTTTGCATCAAGCCGGTAATAGAAGGGACTTTTATTAAGTGAGTCAGACTTAATGGTATTCGCTTTTCCTAAAATGGAGAAATCCGACTGTTTTAATTTGCGAGCATTGGCATAAGAGTTTCTTTGAAGCACTGTTCCTTGGTTCCAGCCTTTGTTGGAAATGACTTGTACCTAACAGGATTTAAACATCAAGAAAGGTGAGTTGGTTTCCATCCTCAATCTGACAGCCGATTTCGGCATTTCTTTCAAAGACGATGGTCACTCATAGATCAACATTTGTTTCGTTATGGAGAAGAAAACTTGGTCACAAATATAACATGTCTTAAACCCCCCAAAAAACGCCAATAACATTAACAGTTTGCAGCGTTCAGTTTTTCAAATTCAGCAAAACACTCCATTGTTCTAGAACTAGCTATTCAGGCTTGCTGAACGACGGGTTTCTTCTCACTTCCTATTCTATTAATTCAACTCTTAGAAGTGCTGTTCAGAACATAAATTCAAGAAAGTATGCGAACGTCATATTGAACTAATAACTTAGAAAAACACTGCGGCTGCTAGTAATGAGGTTTCATTTGAATGGTCAAACGTAAAATTTTGTCCAATGTCTCGAGATCCAGGTCACCCCGTATAAGAGAATACCAATTCCAGAATCCGGGAAATTTTTGCTTGTGGAATCCGAATGCTTGTGGAGTGAAATCCAGTACCTGGAACCCGGAATCCTCTTCGTGGAATCCAGAATCTTGGTTTCTCTTACATGGGGCGATCCAGGGCAGTTCTAGTTAGAACCAGTATGCACCACATCCATCTTATTTTATTCCCATTTTCATAGGTAGGGTGGGGTAGAAAGTTTACATTACCAGAAGAGTCCATCCTCCTTCGTAAAGTTTCGACTGGTCACAAATAGTATTGACTGGTCTTTTACAAGGACCATCGACAAATAATTGGTACACTCCACTGGTCTTGTAACCATCTTCTAAATACTGCTGACAACTCACTGCAAAATACACGAAACAATACTTACGGGCGCATTAGCTACTCCTTTTTGCGAGCAGGAATGTCATTAAGGAGGGCAGGAATACATGAACGCCGATGTCGTCGTAGCGTTTTTGTCTTTATCTCATGAATAAAATGCGGCGGATTCTCCTTAAGATAAGGTCACTATCTTAATGAGATTCCTCTTTATTTTATTTGAGATGAAGACACAAACATGATGACGTCATCGTCGTCGTCGTCATCGTCCTATTCCTGACCTCCTTAATGAGATTCCCGTCAAAAACAAAGCAATAACCGGTACACCCTATACTACTTGCAGCAAATGAAGTGGGTGCAAATATCTCAATATTCAAGATTCAGATGGTTTTCAATAGTAGAGCAGTAATTTTTCAAAATACTCGCATAATTATCTTATTTCTGCTCAAAATCATGTCTTTCAATTTAAGCTTCATATCTGGGAAACGATTACCCGCCAAAGATAAAGTATCATGATACACTAAGGCTTGGGTAGTTAATTAGGCTATGACTGTTAGCCATGCTGGATCAGACAGCTTTTCGTCCCGACATTAAAAAACAACCGCTATAGTATAACACGTTAAGGCCAGGGACTGGAAAAAATCCCTTACACACAAGGAACATCTTGCCGGAGCGGTTGACCGAGAGGGTTTGGTGCAGTAAAACCCTGTCCTCACTACTGAATATTTACTTCAGTCTAAGTAGATTCCAATCCACGCACATACTTATTTACTTCCCCTACGGTCCGAATACTACGTGTTCACTCGCGTGGTACAGAACCTATTCGATGTGTGACGCCCCTCTTTTGACGCAGTTTCTCTCCATTCAACAACAAAAACAATTTTATTGTACCCAAAGCAGAATATTATAGTTATTTACAAGTTGTTAAATTAATCAGTTAACTAAAAGGGGTACTGACTTCCTGAAATAACTAATAAGTTAAAAATGCCGAGAAGCCAGATTCAGTAAGATAACTTAAATAAGTTTATTGTGCGGGGTACAATATGGCAGCATATCAGACTGTATCCACACAAACAAACAGATATACGCACTAGCGCGTATTACCAGTTATATGATTTGCAGACATATCAGCATAGAAATGACAATTAGACAGACTTACGAAACAGAAAAATAAGTAAAATTGAAAATTAGGTTAGAACGTGGCGCGAAGAAAAATCGCGGCCATCTTGTTTCACCACCGCTGACCAATGTCGATTACAGAAGTCGCTCCAAAATTATTGTTGTTATGTGTGAACAGGAGCCCTATCCGGTATGGCTTTCGTGCCGGCCCAAGAGTTATCCGGTAAAGAGTCTGCATAGGTTAGATACGTTTGATGTTTGAACAATAGTGGGAGAAATTGTCAAACGCCAGATAAAGACAGGGTTTTAAGCTCTTTACTTCGCAGAGGTCTTCACTGGCTATAAACCAAAGAATTAACAAGGGAATTACAGTAACCACAGTAACATTAACTTACGGTAACATTTGGTTTTATAACAAGTGGATATTTCAAGGGTTTTTCCTCTGCAGTCACCGTCACGGATACAGGTTCGAGTGCGAAATTGAACTCCTGGTCCACAATACTGACTGCACGCTGACCATCGAGACCACGGGCCAAAATCCAATTCATCGGTCCCTAAAAACAGGCATAACCGGTTTTTATGGTTGTGTATCCAAGTATGTTTATTGGATTTTTTCTGGATCAATTGAGGTTTCTGGTTAACTGCCCACCTACCCCTCCCATAAGTCAACATTAACACTTACTTCTCACTTGGGGCAAAGTTGGAGGGTGGGTGGTCAGTTAGGCAAAAACCTCAACAAAATTTCAGGAGAGGTTGCGCCCTCACCGGAGCCCTTACCTCTTTCAATCATGTCATCGCTTCCAAAATTTGTAATCCGGTTTATTAAACCAGTGATTTTTCCACTATCTCTTTTTTCAGACTAACTAAAATTGGCATTTTGCAAGTTATTTTGGGACACCCGAGTATATAGAGAAGTATTTTGGTCAGTTTTCACCTACTTGTCTTCTAATTAAAGAAATTTTCAACTTGAAACGCGCGTTTGCCATAAACGTGATTCGAAATCTCTCTATTACTTGGATATTATTTGTTGTCTCTCGGTTATAAGCAATTCCTAACAAACATTGGCTCAGAGTTTCTTGGTAAGTTGTTAGAAGTGCAATAGAGACGGTAGCGGTGGTATAAGTCATATGTGTTACTACGAATGCAAAAAAAGAGATCCCAGTCAGAAGCCGCAATGCTGCGGGCACCAAAAGGCAAATACATGAAAGGGAGACCCAAAATGATATAGTGACGCACAGCAAAGTTTCTTGCTGTGTAGACTGAGGCCTTCGGTGTGCTCGTGAGAAAGACTGATTGTTGTAGCCAAATCATCATGACAAGCAATATCATCAATATCAATATCATCGCGCAATATCATTGGAAAACCATATGAAAAAAAGACCCGTATAAGGGCCGTGCGGTTCAAGTGATAGGGGGCGGAAAAACGCGTACAGCCCTGCTAGAAAGGCTTACTGATCGACGCAGGTTCGCTTCTTCAGAAAAATTCAAAAAGATGGTTGAGTTAGGTCGGTCCGGGCGGGAAAAATATTTGGCTCTCGGTCAGGACGCACTGCACGGACCTCGCTGCGCTTGGTCCATACATCCTGACCCTGTGCCAAATATTATCTCTTCCGGCCCTCCTACTGAATCAATAAGAACATATTCCTGCCCTAGTCTCAACTAGAGAGAGGATAGTGATGGCGAGGACACTTGTCAAGATGAGTCAGTAAGCGGTTGGCAAACGAATAGGTGGTTGTAAAATACAGATTTAATGGTGCGTGACTGACGAGACAGGTTGTTTATAAGGTAGCTAAAATCAATTTTTACCTATCATATGTTTTTTGACTGAGAATTCTATTACTTTGAGTCGAAGCACTTACAATGTACACCTTCATTTATAGAGAATGTAAGCGATCAAGAGCCATAATGGGACTTGAAGCGATCTACTTAACAAACTTACCTGCTCTTTGGAAAACAGCGACGAGACAAAGCAACAAAACAGGTGTTTTAAACAATGACATTTCTCTGTTGTTTAAGGTGGTTGTAAAACCTCTGGTGAACTCCTTATCCTTTAGAATTCGTAACCAACAACTGTAGTTTTTTCAAATGTTGATTGAAACATTGAAATGGTAAAAATTGTGAAAAATAGTTTCATTCTATGGGGTTTTGATTTCGGCGAACTTAATACCTCATATTATTACATCATTGTTGTTAGGGTTTTTTTCGCAAGAGCTATATGCAGTGACAGTATTGTCAGAGTAACTGGTTTGTGAGTGGACGTGTTCATCTGTACGCCAAACCCCTTAAAACGGTTGGCTTATTTACAATAAGGAATGACATTCTCTTGTTCTCGAGTGGAAATTGCTTTTTGTCAAGGTAGCTCTTTTAATCAAATCTATATAGACTGTTTTTGGTTTTAACCTTTCACTCCTAATAATATAAGTGGCCAAAGGAAAAAAAAATTAACAAAATATTGCGATTAGCTTTTGAAAAATCCCAGCAAATGTCAAGTGCTATCAAAGGTACTGCCAAAGAGTTTTCATTGAAATGGTAACACCAGTGGATCAATTGAAAAGACTATACTTTTTCAAAGTAGCCTGTGCCAGGCTCCCGATCAGTGTAGACGAGCGTAAAAAAGAGAGCGAGCGATAGACGCTGGTAAGCGAGAAGGACGAGCTTGTACGGTAAGCATCTTTACAAATACCTCAGTGCTTCTACGACAACGCCCACTTTCAAAAAAAACGGTTTCTCATGTCAAAATGTGCGGGGTATCAAGGTTTCACACCCTCGCCATGTATGTTTGTCACTGCGCGCACGAAGCAAAATGATTGTTGCAAGTGTTGCCGTAAACTGTCAAAATTGACCAATCATAGGGTACACCAGGACCTGGTATACCGGAATGAGGTGTTATTACAAACAATGCTTACAGGCTCTACTTATCCGTCTCCCCAAGCCCCTAGGCGATTTTCACGTACGCTGCTTTTCTCAATGCGCTTTCCCTACTATCTTGGAGCCTGGAGCCGGCTAGTTTCAAAGTTAATTATTCCATATTATCCGTTTTAGCTAGCAGTTAAAATCCTTACGTGTAATGAGAATTTCACTGCACGAAAACTTGGATTTACTCAAATTTACTAAGGGGGGAAATAAAAAGCAAAGATGGTAAATACCGCATTTGTTTTCCAGTTTACACGAGGTTGTAAATTCAAGGGCAAATGCACTGAATTCACTGTCTTTGCCCTTTATTTAACTTTAGTTGGCACTCTTCTGCACCAAATTTGCACTGAGTAAATTCGGCGTAAATCAAATTTTTCGTGCAGTGTTTAGGAAAACGGTGCTGGAAAGTTTCAATAATTTCCATTGTGTACAAAAAAATTAGCAGGACTGTCCATTACAATGCTTAATACAGAGGGTTTTTGGGTTTAATTTCTTCTAGCTAGTTGAAGGTCAGCCTACCAAGGTGTTGCAAAACACCATATATCTGAAGCTAAATCTCCGTGAATGGATCATATTAGCGAGCTTAAGCAACGATAACGCTAAATTCCGGGAAATTTATAAATCAAGCAACCTGTAATTTGATGTTTTGCTTGATGGAACTCTCCTCTCTCAAACAACGAGTTTGCACAGTAATTTTCAAAGAGTTATAATAACTCCTGTAGTGGGGTTTATTTACCTCCTTACAGGGGAGTTATTTTTGGGGGGGAGTTATATATTTTAACTTCAAAAAGGAGTTTAACCTCCATAAAAGGGGTTATCCTGCACCTAAAATTTTCACTCCATTTTTGGAGTTATAATAACTCCCTAAAAATTACTGTGTGAAGCCTTTTTTATTCCCTGTTGTACGAATAGTCCAGTTTTGAGTTCGCTATGACCGCTGAATTAAAGAAGTGAAGACGCATTTTTTAGAGGCTTAGCCTCCATCTGAAGTGATATATTCACAAATTTCAACGAGAAAAAGACCTGTTTATTGTTCTGTCTATTATGTATACTCAAATTCAAACACTTACTTGCCGGAATTTCGGAATATTTTACTTTACGTCGAGGCTAACCCTGTATAAATGTGCCGTTAAGGTTTGTATTCAGAGGCAATTTTTAATTCGAAAGTGGACTATTAGCAAAGTCAAAGCCCTGAAAGAGAAGAAAAATCAACTTCCGGTAGCCATTATTGCCTTGGGGGACGTCAAAGTTCTCGTTACTTAAGGTCACTATTGTCTGTAACGTTTAATTTATCCACAGGTTCAACGCGTATTTTTTATCTTTAACTCCGCCGGGATAATTTCCGAAGTCATCATAGCTAGAGCTGTAGCTAAATCTAGCCTCGTCTATTTCCGTTACTCCTATCCCGTGATCTGCACGTAAACAGCCATTGCCTCCTCCACCAATCATCATCACGGATCCATCACCGTACCAATCACACCAGAAGCCAATCATTTCAGGGTTTTGAAAGCCTCCCGTACAGTTATGCTGGCTAAAACCTTGAGTTGATTGGTATTGACCTCCGTACTCTACCCTGCAGTTTCCAAGACATCTATTTGCGAACCAGGCCTTTCCATTTCGAAAGTCGCCATAGCTAAACATTTTATGCCTGAATGACTTTCCCTCAAGGCATTCATCTGTGGTTTGCAGCAACGCGGTGTGTTCAGGGTCGTCACTGCGCGTGATCTTGAAGTTCCTTCCGCTGATCAACCAGAATGCAGGTGAAATCATATCACTGTTTGCCGCCGGGTCTATGTTGTTTCCAATAGTGGTATTGACGTCATACCACCAAGCCCCAGACACCAACATCCAATTTTTAGAGTCAGCGTTCGAGAACCGAGCTATTAAGATCCATCCGGTATCAGAGCCATTTGTGTTGTGGGACGTACCGTTGTCATAAAAAATCTGTTAGTCGAGACAAAAATAAAGAAAAGCATTTTTGTTGTTGTTCTGAAAGCAGAACCTTCCTTTCACTTTGGCGCACTCGAGAAAGACTCTGAATGAATCGAATAAGATCTTTGTTCTCTTTATTGAGCATGCGCCTCATGTTGCTAAGATACAGTTTCGAGCCCAGGCCTAATAGTCGTGCACTCGGTACAGCGGGCTCAGTTATGACCAACGGTTTATCAGTAAACGGGTTCTCGCGCTTAAACACTTTGACTGACAGAAACAAGATTGACTAGTGCAGAAGTTTGGGCTGCGGTGACTTCAAAGGCTTGATGCGATTCAGGCATAGCCTACCTTTCTCTTCTTCGATCAAGAATAAGTCGAAAAGGACGCTCTGCTCGTTGGTTGTTGTTCAGTATGTTAAAGTAACAAAAACTTTTAGAGAACTCTCGACGATTAGGTGACCAAATATAAACTTATGCTTCAATATCAATTAACACCATCAATGATCCAAACTAATATGTTTCTACCTATGAAAACTATAACGACTCGATCGGCTGAATTTAACTTTTAGAGAACTCTCGACGATTAGGTGACCAAATATAAACTTATGCTTCAATATCAATTAACACCATCAATGATCCAAACTAATATGTTTCTACCTATGAAAACTATAACGACTCGATCGGCTGAATTTAAGAAATCCTTAACCAAAAGTAGAAGAGTGAATATATAAACAAGTCAATAAACAAGTAGGTCATTTTTTTATCAAAGTTTCGCTTCGTGTATTAACCGTATTCACACCGGGCTTTTTTGCTTCCTGCGACCGGGGGGGCCTTCGGAGCCCCCATTCTCTATAACTTCAAAACTGCCGATGACGCACTTTTCAAAATCTAGGGATAACACTGTTGACACAATGACGTAATTTGACGTCATTATGACGTCACACTGCTGAAACTAAAGGCAGAATCCAAATTTCACCTAGTTTCCCCTCAAAGCGAAAAACGCTGCGAAAAATTTCGCTAAGTTGGTCATAGCTAAAACTGTGTGGGGCCTCAAAAGATCCAGGCCCGTAGGAGTAGGGGGGCCGGGTAGGCCCGTGTCCCCCCACTTTTTAGGTGAAATTTTTTAAAAAAGAAGACTACCACTATACCGTCGAAAATACTGGGTTAATAACACAAGGCAATTCCCCTTTCCATTTTAAAAGATATGTTGTTAGGGCTAATACTTTCGTGCCCTCTTACTTTCAGATTCGTTCCTACGGGCCTGAGAACATCTATTGCGTCTTTAAAGTTACCTCTTCATTGTACTGTGGCTATTTTTAGTAGCTTACCGTAAACGTCTGAGAAAAAGCACCTATTTCATAGCTTCCACTAACATTCCCTGAAAGATTGGCGTGGATTTCCTGAGAAGATACCCGAGCTGTGTAAAAAATTAACAATAGAATGTTCCATGGCGGGTTATACAAATATTGCCATTTAATTACAGACCCATTCAAAAAGGGGGCAAGAATGCCTCTTGAGGGATGTCAACAGCTTTTAAAAAGTTTGCATCATTTAATCACTTCCACCATCTGGTGCGTAACACACAACAGAGCAGGGCTCCAATTTATGTGTGTCCTTACAAATGACCCACCCAGCCCAGGAAAGGTTGGCCACACCACCGGGGTCTACTTCCCCTACTCTTTTCGAACAGTGGTGTGAGTTCTTTTACGTCCCACAGAACCAGATGAGTGAAAGTGCTGTGAGACGGGACCTAGGTTTTTCGTCCTTATCCGAAAAGACTAGAAAGTCTAACCGTTTGCAGTTATCATTGCAAAGACAGCACTTTCTCCTCACATATCTATAGACCCTGAGTGTTGATCCGTCCGGGGTTATAACCCGCGACCTTCCGCTTGGCAGACCAGCACTCTTCCAACTGAGCTAACTACGCCGCGGTTCAGTTCATATTCTGAACTGATTTCTGAGGAACTTCCAAATAGTTTGACGAAATTCTGCCTAAGGGCAATAATGTTATGAACTTGAATAAATAGTGAAGTAATTAATGAATTAACCAAGGCTTTTGTATGATATGAAGAATTATGCACTTTAGCTTCTTATAACCACAGCGTCAGTCGATGTGTGTAATTCTTCGTATCATTTTCAGCTTGATCCAATATTACTAAATATCCATTTCAATTAATGCCACAAGAAGCTTACCTCTCTCACAATTTTGCCCAGATAGCCCATCTGAACAGACACAAGTACTAGTTAAGAAGCCTATAACAACGCATGTTCCAGTGACACAATCAGATTCTAAACACGGATCAATTTCTGTTTACAGTGAAGAAAGAAAAAATAATACGGGTAAATAAATTAAAAACTTGCCAAAAAATACTAACAATGAAACCTCTACCAACGGCCATCATTACAAAAGTGTCCATTTAAGCCAGCATTCTGAGCTGAATTGGACTTTCCTTTTACAAAAAAACTCAATTTATTTGTCAATGAACCCAATCTACACCTGAATCTTGAACCCGCTTCTGCAACTGTGGTCACCTCAGAGCATCATGAGGTCTCAGTTTCCTTGAACCTGTACTATCTTTGAGAGGTTCGACGACAACTCATGTATTTTTATCACCAATGTCATTATTATTATCATAACCATTATCTTATACAAACCTTCTTCGCATCTTTCACCTCTGAAGCCAAAAGGACATGAGCATGTATATCCCTTGTGATGACCGTTACAGGTAGCACCGTTTTGACACATATTATTATGGCACTCGTCTTCATCTAGCACAAAATTACAGGAATGAACGAATGAAAAATTTATTCACTTGTCAAAGTATTTAGCTAGCAGCTAATGGGGGACACAGACTATCTACATACCTAATAAGTATCCATAATTAAACAAAAAAAGAAATTGAGAATATACATTCTTGAAATCTTGGTAACACTAAAATTAACGTATTACAGACACAATTCTTTTCTACAGTCGGGTAAGGACTATACCGGGGATATATACGTATCAGATCACGAGTCCGGATAAGTCGACTTTCCTAATATTTCTCTTGAATGAATTAAGACTTTCGGCAGTTCTTAGATTTCTAGGTAGCTTGAACCAAATGAGAGGCCCCAAGTATTTTACAGTGAGAGTGTTTGCCATGTCGAATAGTTTCGAATTTAGGTAGTTCAAAAAATATTGTAATTAAGCTACAGTTAAAGTAAAGCGAAAATACAATTTTCTTTTATCTCTTTCATTTCAAAGTGCTACTTATTTGAATTTAATTCATTTTTTGACGACACATCCCGAAACTAAACAGATTGTTTCTTTCACGCTAAGAAGAAGCGTGAAGAAGTGTTTTTAAATGCCAAAGTAGCCTTCCGAGATTTTACAATGACGACGTCTGATGAGAAATTTAAACATCATGGCCCAGTTGCTCGAAGCATGGTTAGCGTTAACCAGCGTTTAATATCTTGACAACGTATTGGTTTTGATACTGCTTAACCAATGGTTAAAGCCAACCATGCTTTGAGCAACTCAGCCCATGATGTTAAACATCGGCCATCTTGTCACACCATTAACAATTTGATTAAGCGGATGTTTTACTGTCGCCCAAGAAAAATGTCACCAAAACTGAGTCAAATGTGCAATAACAACATGATTTATATTCTGCAAGAATATTTAACATATTTTTGGCTATTTACATTAATATATAAAGGCCAACTCAGGTGTAGCTTGTGTGTGTAAGTTGTTCATTTTAACTACTGTAACGTCACGTTTGGCTAAACATCCGCTATTTTGAAACTCATGTTGGAGACATCTGAGATCATGCACCTTTCGGCGAACAGATAACCAAACTAGCAAATTATACGTCATTTTACACTCACACGATTTAGAATACTATGTTCCCCTTAAAATAATGTGGAAAACTACAACAAGGATTAAGACGTCACGCGAAATAGGAAAGTTTTGCGGATTATGTGACCATGCATAAATATAATTTACCCGGACTGTTCCAGGTGGCGATGAGGTAGTCGTTGAAATGTAATCCTCTCGCACTAACTGTAGAAAAAGAAAAAGACCCACTCACGTGTTAATCAGAAACAGAACTGAAAAAAAAATTGCTGTCGCATGACTTACACTAGGGAGCTTAAGATCCGACGACGGCGACGGCAACGGGAACGCCACAAAAGCAATAGGTTCAATTAGGAAAACAGCAATTTTGCACGTGCATCACGCTTTTTTGTACATTTCTTTGCCGTCACTGCACGACTACGACGTGAAAATGCCTAATTTCACGATGTACAGAGGAAGTACACAAGCGACGACGAAATTTCCTCTCTCTTTCTGAACTTGGATATGGTTCTTAGGAATTCAACTTTAGAAGGGTTCGCCTACATTTGACAGAGTTAGTGACTTGGAGTAATCGCGATGAAGATTGAAAGAACGCGAATTCACTTTTTCAGCGACATTTTCTCTGCCGTCGCCGTCTTCGGATCTTAAGGTCCCTATTGCGAAGCTTAAGCAACCACGGCGGCAACGGCAGTGAAAACCGCACTTGAAAAGTGAATTCGCGCTGTTTCAAACTTTATTACTCTTATTCCAATTCATTCAATTTGTCAAGCGATGGAGAATTTTTCTGGAGTTAATTCTTAAGGAGTGTATTTAAGTTATGAAAAAGAAACTAAAAAGTTTTGTCTTGTGTTCACGTCCTCCATAAAACGAGAAACTAGGAAGTTTCTCGTCGTAGTCGTGCAGTGACCGCAAAGAAATATACGCAAAAGTGTGATGCACGTGCAAAAGTGCTGGTTTGCTATTCTAGTCCTATTGCTTTTTTTTTCCGTTGTCGTTGTCGTTGCCGTCGCCGTTGTCGATGCTTAAGCTCCCTATTATCCATTAGATGAATGACCCACGTAAAACAATTTTGATCATAATTTCATGAGAATTGGAGGATATTAGGAAATAATGGGGATGTTTCCTTCAAGAGATATGAAAAGAAAGTGGATTTGGTTAGGGCGCTTTCCAAAAGTTAGAACTGGCCGGCCCGACCATGGCCGGACCTGTCATTTTAACAATGAAATAGGCTTTTTCCAAAAGTTTTACTGAACAAAAATCTCTTTTTGTATACTACTTATAATTTGACTGATCTGGCTGGATAGTTTTGATTAAAAGTGAATTTCTCATTACAGTGGGAATGGTCTGGCCGGTTCTGACAAATGCAAAGTGACACTAGTTAGCGTGGTTTTACTGAAAAAAGGAATAGAGGAATATTTTCGCTGATTGCTGTTCGTGGAGCGTTATGCCTCAACGCAGATTACCGTGCGCTCGCGAATTGAGAATGCCGGTTTAAGAGAATTCCAGGGAAAAAAGAAAAGTGTTTCTTGTCTGAATCTGGCAATAAATGTATGCGACGCAGAAGGATTTTAATTTTCTATTGATTGGGAAGCCTGCCAAACTAAAAGCCAATTGATTTGCTACCCTAACCGTAAAACAATGGAAATAAAGATAAACAATATTGTGTTATTATTTTCTGCGTCCCTGAGGAGACACATTACGAACGAGTAGATGCTACAGTTCTGTAAGAAAATCATAAATGTACTGAAACATTTCGGGAATATAGACTTGAACATCAGACGGAAACACAAGCTAAACCGCACAACAACTGACCAATTACCGTTACTGCTTGAGGTCTAGTTTGGTCTAGTTATCCTTCCCCTGATTTATTTGGCAACTTAGTTCCTCGCAACAGAGTACCATTCCACAACTATTTGTTGTTTTTTACGTCTTGTCATTTTATCGTTTGAGGGACTCAGAATCACGTTTACGACAGACAGCAAAAGTCTTCTTCAAGTTCATAGTTTCTCAAATTAGAAAATGAAAAAATAAAAACTGTGCGATTAAATTTGTATGGATAAACCGGATATGAAACTAGTAATACGTACACAATGAACACTAAACGGCAAGTAAAAGAAAAAATATGATCACGTAGTAAAAATTGACGTTTGCCAATTGCCGTAAACGTAGGCTAGATGACCAGCCGCTGTTCGAGAAATGAGCCCGCGCTTCTTTCCGAAAGAAGTCTCTTCTCGGAGAGAAACAAGATCGGTCCAAGGAAAGCGACGGAAATCGAGCCTACTAAAAGACTGATTCTACATCTCTCTATTTTTAGAATTTGTTACTTACCTCCCCACGAATTTCCGTTGGCGTCTTGTGTTTCCAGACATTCGTTAGGTTGTAGGGTGTTACTGAAATCCGTCTCTGGTATGAAAGGAATTTCAGTTGCAAGTATTGTGGAGTGTAGGTCTCTTACTTGGAGCCATTCCACCTTTGACACACCGATAACTCCCCTGCTGTCATCCATATTGTACTTCATATAGGCCCTCCTGTTTCCTGCTACTCCATAGAGTGTTCTTTTCCTACTGTCGTATCCGAGCATGCTCAGCATTCGAAATCCTAGTCCTAAAGAATCATTAGCATACCAATTTACATTACTGTCTCTAAGTGTGAGGAGTTAGTTACATAGGAAGTGAATAAAAGACGAATATTTCTGATTTATCAAACAACATAGACGCAGTGTTTTGTCACTGAAAGAAGAACTGGAAAAAAGATGCCAAAAGTGCAAAATGAAGCAGATTAATTGTACAGAAATTCAATCACAGTTTAAAGGTAGATTAAATAATATGAATTTAATATTAATTTGTATTTAATCCGTAATAGTATAAGAATGCCATTATTTCTATATTATTATTATTATCATCATCACTATCATTATCATCATCGATATTGTTGTTATTCTTTTTATTATTAGTAGTATTCTTATTATTTTATTTTTTCCGTCATTTTTGCTAGGCCCTCCCGCGACTACTCCGATCCAAAAGGAGAGCTTGCTCGCAGGCTAGCAAGGCCCAAGTAAAGTATTACTTTTTTACCCGGCATAAATTAAGTCATGTTTATTGATGTGATAAATTCAAATATCAAACGCGGTTCAGCCAACTTTCTTTATTCGTAAGACCGATTTCCTGGATATCGGATGAAACGCTGTGTTGCGTGTTCGATCAAGTGTCTCTTAATAGTTGCTGAAGAAATGCAAAACTATATACAAAATGTTATGGTAAAACGTCAATTGCATAGTGACGTCAATTTATTACAGTTAACAGAATCCTTCACTTCGTTATTTTTTATTGATAAACTCTATCTATGGAGTGATATCTCTTTTCAAACAAAATGCAGATGAAGTCGAGTTAAGAAAACAAAGCGGAAGTTTTTCATCAGGCTAAGAAAGTAACGACTCATGATGTCCTTTAACTCTGCTATTTGAATTAGCTGCCCAGAGAGACCTTATAACAAATTGAAAATAAGGTTAAACCCAGCCTAGTCCCTAGGCGTTTTCGGGTGGTCAATCCTGGACTCTACCGTGAGCTGTGACGTCACCGAAAGGGACTCGCTCGCTCTTTCCCAGACTTCGCGTAGACAACGGATCAAGAGAGAACGCCTAGGGAATAGGCTGGGTTTAACCGACTTTTACTGACCGGTCCACCGTGTGATACCGTGATGTCGTGTGGCATGATAGCAATAGTTTCTTGAAGAAACGGGCCTGAGAAAGAAAGTGAGTTAGAATATCATTTAATGAAAGACTTATTTTCTCCGGTTTTTGGTGTTGTTTTGATTCTTTCATTTTCCGGTCGTTTTTGAATTCTTGATAAGTTGGTCTAACTGATGATTCAAAATGGCAGGTTTTGTAAGCTTCAGTTTCTTATGTTGCTAATTTTCTTCATGTTCCTGAATCTGCTTTGTTTTATTATTGGCTATTGAGGTATGTCTGTTTACAAACAGTCAATGCACGCATAAACTTAAAGCAATCACTTACCGAAGTTGATTGGCGTTACAGACAAACACCAAACCAGACACTGGCTCCACAAGGAAACTCCGTTTTAACACGGGTGGAAAATCTATAGAGAATACATGAAAAATGTTACACATAACGCCAAATGACTGCAATTAAAAATTCTGCCTAATATATTCCTGGAGGAAGCCGAGTTTGATGTTACGTGACCATAAAAAAGTCAATGAGAGCGCCGCCCTGCTGTAACGGAAGAAACTAAGAACACTTTCTGGATCATTTCGAAAAAGCCTTTATGAAAAATTTTTTTTAGCCGTTCAAAGGTCTTTAAAAACCACTCGGCTACTCATTGTGTTTTCATATTCATAAAACACTCTTCCCCCTTTTTTTTCTGTTATTTAAAGGCGGGATAGTATCTGCCAAATTCCCTTCCCCGCACGAAAGGCGACATCTATTCAATTTAATTAAAAACAATGACTGGATAATGCAATTCTAGAGCTCTGATTGGCTTAGCCATCATGGTATATAAGTCGTTATACCATGCTCTCCAAATATGGTAACTGTACGCGTTTGCTCGAAATTGAAAACAAGCTGGAAATCGGTTGTTTTCACAGTCGGGAAGAATTCTTCGATATCTGTGGGCGTTTTAAATAAAACAATTATTCCACTCGCGCTTGTTGGATATGAGAAGATTATAGCCAACTCATATCCAACGCGCACTCGTGAAATAATTGTTAATCATTACCTGGGTGGTTGCTTGATTGATTGATTTGACGACCATACAGTTCCACTCTTAGGCAAATGCGGTCGATGTACGTCTTGGCGAAAAACCGAACAAATCGAGCGGAGAATGGTTTGAGTAACTTCTGCTTCACCGCTACGTTTTCTACCATATTTCCGAGGAAAACCTGCAAGACAAGAGCTTGCTTTTAGTACCCAGCTTCCAAGGTTTGATTTTTTTTTCAATCGATAATTTGCTGAGAAATATCAAATCCAAACCCTGATGGACAGGAAGAACACTTGCAGGGTTTTTCAGTCAGTTTCATCTTTAAGCAGTGTTTCAGCGCTTCGCTCAAAAACACCTCCCTCTTGTCTACTTCATTCTCCATTAATTGCCAGCGAGGCAGATTCATAATCCCGCGTAAAGTAGGAAAAATCTCTTAAATTCTGCGTAACCCCCTAAAATTTACTTTTTTGACCATATTTGGGTGTAAGTAAGACCCCGTATTTGGGCAGTTGCGTCATGATCTTGTATTTACAACTCGTGGTTGGAAATTGGGTGATCCCGTGTTCTGTTCAAGAGGCCCTAACAGGTGAGCAACCTTTAATACGATTTCTAGATTTGAAAGGGCTATTAGTGCTCTGGTTTGCTTTATAAATTGCGTTTAAAGCAGCAGCTCATCAAGGAATAGGGTTTTACGCTCCAATTTTTGTCAGAACCAGCTTGTTCTTCGCAGCTCGATTTACATTGAGGTAGCGTGTTTGCTTTTCGACTCAGAACCAGGGCTTTTTTCTGTGTTATATTTTTCCTAGTTTGTAAATTGAATTTCATGCGGTAGGTAATCAAGGAATGGGGTTGTATTCTCAAAACGTTTATCAGAACCAGCGTGTTCTTCGTTCGATTTACATTGAGCCGGTCCTGGCCTCCCATGAGGAATGCAACGCATTTGAGGACCTTTTGTGTTTTAAAAGTTATTTTTGCATTTGGAGAGATTTTTGTCAACCAGCGTGTCCTTTTGCACCTCTATTTACACTGAAGACAGCCTTAAACTCCGCTGAGGAATGCAACGAATTTGCGGACCTTTTGTTTTAAAGACCATCATTACGAATCATTTTGCCTTTCGAGAGACTCTTTGTCCTGTGCCACTCGCCATTAGATCTTTGTATTTTATTCAAGTTTATATTTCTTTACTTCTGATACATTCCGCCCCATTCTTGCGCTTTTCACACATTTTGTTTACACCAATTTATTCATATGTATATTACCATGCGGAATATTTTTCTTATCCCTAATAATGCCATTGATTGACGAAAGCTCGGAATATAATTTTTATTTTTAATTTTAGCAGTCAAAGGCCCCACTTGAACTATAGTTTACTTTCTAAAGTTTATAGTTTTGAACTACACTGATTTCCATAAAAAACAATTGCTAACTTCCTCCAATTTACCAACAAAGCTTCAAGCCAAGTTGTCATTTTTTAACAGAATTGAAAGCCTAGATGATGTACCATCCTAAAGTTGAGTGCAATCCTTTTCTATAGCGGAATCCATTATAAACCTCTAAAATTATGTAACAAATGGCGAAGATCTGGATAGGCGCACTCCACAAAAGATAAACAAGTTCGCTCGTTGGCACTTGCCGAAAGGTACCCCTAGTTAGTGAACTTGAATAGTACGTGAAAGAACTGACACTACTATTCAAAAAGAGTGAGGAAAGGTTTCCCCGGAGACAGGGGCGTAGCCAGCCATTTTTCCTCCAAAGTCCTAATTGTAAAAGTCCCAGTCGGGTGGGAAGGGGGAAAGGGGTAACAAAGAATTAACCACAGTTCGTTTTTGCTTAAAAATGTCGTTTCAGATAAACCTGGGTAAACTATCATAGTCAGCACTTGGGACGAATATAAGCCGTTATAAGCCTTTTAGCTAGGGATGAGCCGTTTTGTCAGTATAGCAGATTTTACATATGATTCCTCAACTTTCTCTTTGGATTGACTTGCAAAATGAACTGGTATGGCAAGGGGAAAATGAGCACAAAGGCGAAATTTTTCAACTGTTTAATTCAGTGTGTCTTTTAAGTTATCAAGGAAGAAGAAGGCGCGGTAGCCGTTTCATTTAGGATTTATCGTCAAATATGACTCTACTGACTCAGTAATTTCAATGAAGATAAAATTGCAGAGGAAGCTTAGCTTTTACAAATCCATTTTCTAGCGATAAAAAAGTAAAGTAAAAACCCCATTCAGATGGGTTGGTTTGTTCGAAGAAGCGTTTTAACATCGATTAATTAATGCAGAATAAACATCGTTACTCAGCTCATGAAACGCCTTTTTGTAATAGCCACTGGGCTACTTAATTTTTCAAAGTGGTGGCCAATTCCATAAAGTTAGTCACTAGCATGAAAACAAAAAAACAAGGAGACTAAATTACGGTCTACTTAGATGTTATTTAGGGTGTGTTCGATTAACGCTATTCCGCAATGAAAATACACAGAAATCTCTCCTACCACGTGTCATGGACCACTGGAATATTTACCACATGCATCTTAATAGCGTATTTCAACTATATTTAGAGATGTTTTGATGTGATGAGTTGCCCAAACAGATGATTTCCAGAGACGATTTTATCTATTGTTATTCTTGAAAATGGTCAAACCAGGAGCGAATTCAGGATTTTTTTTTTTTTTTCACTAAGGGATGGCGTAACTGACTGATGATGTAAACAAATTTCAAAAGCGAATACGAAGAAGAAGGTTTTTTCCTAGGTAATAACATAATGTGAACTGCAGAGAATACATATCAAACGATACAGCAGAGTTTGTATAATTGTGAAGCGACCGCACAGTGTTAATCAGAAAGCCGCAGGTCATCTCAGGGGGTAGGGGTGCGCACCCCCTGCACCCACCCCCTAGTTGATATACTATTTATTGTATAAGACTCCAGATAAATAACACATGTACGTATGTATGTTAACAACGGGCCCTGAGGAGCTGAGACCCTCCTAAATTCAGTCGAGACGAGTTTCAGTACAGCCTAAATGATTCTAGCAGATAATCATGAAAGTATACAATGGGGAACGCGGTCCTACAATGTGTCTACTGAACTACGTTGGAGTTCAGCGACAGATTTTCCTAGTGAATTATTAAACTACGTGCAAACGGACGCAACAATTCCCAACATTGTTGACCCAACAATGTTGGGATTTGTTAGGTTCGTTCACACGTAGCCAAACGTTTTACCGGTTTCAAATTTTGCGCAACAACGAGCAACAGCGTGTGCAAACAGACGCAACAAGTAACATCCAACAATGTTGCGTTCCTTTTACACAGGGCTTTATGTACCAATTTCGCATGTCCATCACCACGACAGACATTGGTGCCTATAGGCCGAGTATTGTGTTTCAATAGGGACATTTTCACGCCTAGACTGCAAAACAGTCCGCATTTTTGCGTATTCAAATACGCGCGAGTAGTCAAACAAAAGGTCTGGAACGAGGCTGAGAACGGAGAGCGAGACTAGGGAGAGACGCTATAAATACGCGCCCTGTCAACGTTAACATGCGATAACATTTGTTAATCCCGGTCTTAATGGCTTAAAGGTAGCTACGCCCCTGTATGGACTGCCTCTACCTCTGTTATCATATTCGCTATCACACACTTATGGTAAGCTCATAAATGGACCGATAGCGGTAGTCAGTGGCGCCGTTACATACTGAGGTCCGAGCTTACTGTTCATATAAAATGTAAAGACTACCCTTTCTCTCTCATCTGCGACATTATATTACATTTTCGTTGTAAAATTGATTCACACCTTTCTATCGCCATTTTGTCTGTAGTCAACAAAGTCGCTCTCTGTTACGCTGTATTGTAAATAATATGACGTCACACCACGAAAATTTTCCTTGCTTCCGTCACAGTACTCACTTTGTGTTGCCACCTAAGAAGGGAAAATATTCTTGTTGTAAGTCTCTTCTTCTTGGAGTGGTTACCTAACTCTAATAACAAAGGAGACTTTTGTCTGATTGGCTGATTGATTCTTTAGTGTCCATTCTCCTTAACGCGCGCAAGAGAGTAAACAAAAAGAGGAAATTTTTAACGACGCATCGTAAGATTTCTATCACCTTCCCGCACTTGGAATCACTTTCAACGGATTAACCGGTGAAATTACAGGTGAGATTGACTAATCTTTGATGACTATAATACAGTCAGTATAAGAAAACCTATGAAACATGATACGGAAAACCACCCGATCTCGTCAGTTTGGTCTCAAGGTAGGGGTTACCGAGCATAAGCCGCACACCCTCAAACAAATTTTCCAGGAGTGACAGAAGTTCGCAGGGTTTGATATAAAGCACCCTATGTCTATGCCTACCTATACCTATTTGGTCTTTTATGCCTCAGAACCACCTAGGTGGAGAGAAGAACTGGGGCGCTCCCCAGCTGCTTGTTTTCGATATGTCCCTGAAATGTATGACTGGGAATGCCATGAGAAACTTCTTACAGGAACGAGGCAATTTNAAAATTGATTCACACCTTTCTATCGCCATTTTGTCTGTAGTCAACAAAGTCGCTCTCTGTTACGCTGTATTGTAAATAATATGACGTCACACCACGAAAATTTTCCTTGCTTCCGTCACAGTACTCACTTTGTGTTGCCACCTAAGAAGGGAAAATATTCTTGTTGTAAGTCTCTTCTTCTTGGAGTGGTTACCTAACTCTAATAACAAAGGAGACTTTTGTCTGATTGGCTGATTGATTCTTTAGTGTCCATTCTCCTTAACGCGCGCAAGAGAGTAAACAAAAAGAGGAAATTTTTAACGACGCATCGTAAGATTTCTATCACCTTCCCGCACTTGGAATCACTTTCAACGGATTAACCGGTGAAATTACAGGTGAGATTGACTAATCTTTGATGACTATAATACAGTCAGTATAAGAAAACCTATGAAACATGATACGGAAAACCACCCGATCTCGTCAGTTTGGTCTCAAGGTAGGGGTTACCGAGCATAAGCCGCACACCCTCAAACAAATTTTCCAGGAGTGACAGAAGTTCGCAGGGTTTGATATAAAGCACCCTATGTCTATGCCTACCTATACCTATTTGGTCTTTTATGCCTCAGAACCACCTAGGTGGAGAGAAGAACTGGGGCGCTCCCCAGCTGCTTGTTTTCGATATGTCCCTGAAATGTATGACTGGGAATGCCATGAGAAACTTCTTACAGGAACGAGGCAATTTAAAGAAAACGGAGAAAAGGGAACCAGATACAATGCTCCACGTAGCGTGGCGTCCTTTATGCGTTATCACTGAACGTATTGATCTTGCTCATCGTTTTAGCCGTCCGTTTTAGCAAGGCCTTTTAGAGTGAAGTTTTCTTGAAAACTCAGATTATGTAGACGGACGAAAACGGCGATTTTCTAATACGAAGATGTCATACATCATAGCGCATGCTCCGTCTGTAAGGAACGCTAAGTCCATTGCTTTGGCAATTTCGAGAGGACGGGTGAAAACGACTCGCATATGCTACGTGTGGACGCATGTTTATTTATTTTATTTTATTTTTTTAAACAAAGAAAAATATCTCTCTTTTCCCCGATCCTCTTGTGCAAGGCCTTATATCTGTGCAAATGGCAGTAACACTTTAAATTCAGTTAAGTATATTCTGTGCATTAACAGCCCTTAATAAAGTTCTTTTTCTCTACCTTTGCCGTGCATTTTTTCCTCGATAAAAGATTATTTACCAAAACATCAGGGAAGTAAATTACATAAAATTGTGGCACAAAACATTTTGAATTTCAAAGTACCTGTTGAATCAAGTGTGGCGCCAAAAGATCAATCTGTAAGTAGTCAGACAAGCTTCTTTCATCCATGCACCAGGCGGAGACAGAGTTAAGCCTTGCTTTGAAGGGTTGAAATGAAGGAAGAGATGACGAGGAAGACGAAAACTGACTGTCCAAAATGTCCCCTGACTCAGTCCCTAGAGGGTAGCCATAGTCTGAAAGAAAGAGGGTAAAATAATTAAATAAAATGCTAATAATGAGATGGTAACCCTACAGTGTGGACACTCAAAACGGGACACTTGAAACAAGGTTGTCAAATCACAAAATGAAATTCTTAAATTTTTTTTTGTGCAAACGGACCAATAAAATTCATAAATTTGAGGCCTGTTTTCTGAGAGGTCGGGTAAGTTTGAACAGTTTTAAAGTTGTCAACGGTTGCATAGTTGAACCTTAAATTTTATTTTGTTGCTTTTCAGAAAACGTTGTGTTTGGACATTCTTCTTCCAAATGTCCAGGTTTGAGTGTCCGCACTGTAAAGCCTGGTTAACTAATGATGAACAAATTTTCTGGGTGAGCTTTATTTGTTTCTGTAGTTGAAAACACAGTAGAACCCAGTTAACTCGAACTCTGAAGGAAAACGAAAAACAGTTCCAGTTATTTAGCGGGGTCGATTGAATCTTGAATGTTAATATGTTAATATTGATAGTATTAAAAGAGATTTCTTAAGACATAAAACGGTAAAAAAGAACGATAAAATCCAACGTTTCGGAGTAGTCAAGACTACATTATCAAGGAAAAGTGTTTTTGATCATGCAAATTACAGCATTTAAAGCTTTAACTATTGATAGTAAACTGATATTTCATCACATCAATATAGAGCAGAGTGCAAATCAGACTAATCAGAAATTGTAACACGATTACTCATTTTTATGATTATACAGGGAAACGTAATGGAAAACCTTTAAAGATAAAGATGTTGATTAAACATGCATATTACTGTGAAATACGTGATCTGTTCGTTGCACTTATCAAAAACAAATTCCCGTAGTGATAGTTTTATGGTTTTTACCGATTGTACGACAAGAAAAGCTAACGGGTTGGCATTCATGGTGAGTTGTAACATCCAGAATTCGAGTTATCGGGGTAAATTTTGATCGAGGGAAACGAAATTTAGTTTGAGTTAGCGGGGAATTCAAGTTATCCGGGTAAAAGTGACTGAAAAGGAAGGTCAAATTCAAAGGAAATTAGACTTGTTCGAGTTAGCGGGGAGTTCGATCAAATTATCCGAGTTCAAATCGCCTGAGTCCTACTGTAAACTTACCAAGTGGATGTATTGTTGTGGCATTCTCTACCTCGCAACCATAACTTTCAAACTGAAGGTACTTTTCTTTTGACCAAGAATGTAATTTTATTCTGACAAATCGTGTCTTGATTGGAGGGTTGAAAACAATTGGGGTAATAAAAGTCCAGTCGTAGGATATGCGGAATTCCTAAAATATACCAAAAATTAAGATTAGCAATTATAAACTTTGATTTTGGTAGAAGCATGGAATCGGAACCCCTACCTCTTCTTAAACTCCCAATGAGAACAAAGATCATGAATTCTGATGACGATAAAAGTGATGATCATGGTGCAAAATATGAAGATAATAAAGATGATGATGATGATGACGATAGTTGTAGTAATGATGATAGTGGTGATGATAAGGATGATGATGATGCATGTACTGATGATTATGTTGACTATGGTTGTGGTGTTGATGTTGATGATGACGATGATGGAGGTGGCGGTGATTAAGGTGAAGATAACAGTGGTAGTTATGATGATGATAGTGTTGATGTTATACACATTTTTATCTCCTTACTCACCCCCCCCCTCCCCCCCCCACCTTCCCCCTTCCCCTCTTCTCTTCTGAGCCATTATCAAACATTTCACATGAGTTCCATTTTCTTCAAGCTTCAGACTGATTGCCTAGTACATACCATTTCCTTTAATGCCCGATGATGATACATTTTCCAGTGTATTTCGTCATCGCTTGTATAGACGTATAGCGATGCGACTCTTCTCTGCTCCGATCCTTTGACAGCCAGCTACCATGTTGGCAAAAGTAAGAAAAATAAAAAGAATTATTTGTAACCACCGTAAGATTTTTTAGACTAAGTTAACATCTTGACCTACTTCTTCCCGGAGAAAGTTTTTATTTATTGTAAATAATTTAATATAAGGAAGTCTGTTCCACCATTTGTAGCAGAGCAAGAAATGGTGGTTGCCACCTTAAAATCAAAACTTGCATGCTAGACTGCTTCGAAGAGATCATGTGCTATTTAATTTATTTAAGCAGAATCTTGCTCCGCGGAATCACCTTTCCAAGACTCTTTCCGAAAAATCCTACAAGGTAGTAACTACGTCGATGAGAAACTTACTCACCATTTCAAATTGCACTTTTTTATTAAACTCCATGGAGATGAATTCATCTCGACTTTTCCTATTCGATCTCCAGAAAGTGTCATCTTCTCCCAGCCTCGCATTGAAAGGAGAAGTCCCAACTAAATTTTGCTCTGGTCGAGCCACGTAAGAGGATGTAATATCACTTTCTTTCAGTACGCTCGCACGAAATGGACCGAACATGTCGCAAGCTGAAATGGTAACAACATAACATTAAAAACAAAACATTTGTGTTTGAACCTTTAAACACACTCCCCACTTTCTGTTGTTTAAAAAGTGATAAGCGTCTTTATGATAGTGTCGGTTTTATAGGCGCTGCCAATGCAAAATATGTGACATGAATGCCCCTTATGACTATGGTTATGTCGCTAGTGGTATTCAGCCCAAATACATACGCTGATGTGCAAGTCTGTTACGTCCTAAATGCGAACAACTAAAGCATTACCTAACATATTGAAGTACTGCTACCCTTTTACAGCGCATGCGATGACGCATACCTCCAGTACACAGCACTATTCAAACTCGTTCCCAAAGTTCTCTCTCTGGAAGCAAGAGGTCAAAAAGAACCCTGGGAACGAGGTTGTGCACTTAAAATGCTGAAATTAGAGCTGTGTAAAAACATTTATTCGTTACCTGGACTGTAAAAAGTAAAAGTAAATGGAAAATACTGTTCTTCTTGGTCTGCACACTCTTTTCCAGCCAAAGTGTAATTCAAGCGAAACCACGTTGTTACGTTATATGATCGTCCATTCTTTGTTTCGTTCCTCGGATCGATTAGCAAGGTGAACCTCACAGGAGCGTGTTTCGTTACGTTAAAACTTCCAAACTGACAAAACGTTATAGGGAAAAAATGGTTTAATGTTGTTGTTATGGTAATGACTCAAATTACCTATTTGTATAAAGTAATAGGACTGACCCTGGCTCTGAAAAAATTGTAGGAGAATTGACCTTTATTGGCAAAAGTAAACGTGTTCTGAGAATGAGGGGATCCTTGTTCTGGGTCAACAACAACGATACACAAACGTCCCCGTCATTTATCCTGGAAAATCGTGGTAATAGACTAAAATGTCGTAAATGACTTTTGCAAAATATCACTAACGGTTTACTTTAACTTAAAACTTGACAAGTTTGTTCACCCCCTTCCTTTAATACGGTTACTATTTTCATTGAAATGTTTGCTCCGAAATGGGCACGCGGGCCCCATAATTTAGCACGTTTTCCCTCCTGGGACCCTTGCATTACCCCTGGGTATTGAGCGTGGTATTGAAATGCTTTGCCAACATCAGGATCACTGATCAGATCACTTTTCTATGCGTTCATGCCCCGAGAGTGCATATATACTTGCGTTTTTTGCCCTCCCTCCTCCCCTCAGCGACGAAAACCCGGTTATGCAGCACTTCTTCGCATACGTGGAAATTATTTTCGCCCATATCTTAGTATTCCCCGCGTGTGCCATAGAGGTGCAGCATACCAATGAAAACTCTCCTACTATTGACAGAAGTCATCACCCGATCACTGTTGCTAAGTTGTTGTTGTTGTCGCTTTTTTTTTTTTCAGTTGATAATTCACAATTAACAAACCTCAATTCTGCGGTGCAATAAATTTGCTCCGATATGTTCGGCGGCATTTGCCTCCGAAAGTTTTTCAAATAATGTCAACTCCAGGAATGAAGGTCCTTGCCACTCGACAGTTAATGATGTCACCGCGTAATTATCTTCTTGGATGTAAAAAGCCATTGCACTGTTAAATGTCAGGCTAGAGGATAAATAACGATACGGTCATCCTCAGCGAGCGAATCTTGGATTCTGGAGCCCACACCGTGGATTCCGGATTCAAGGATTTCAGTCTTTGTCAAAGAATTGAATTCAATAGATTCCAGTCTTTGGATTCTAGATTGCAATCGTTAGTAGGATTCCTGATTACTTAAGCCATATTTCGGATTCCCAAGCCCAAGATTCCGGATTCAAGAAGCAAAATTTTTCTATATTCCGGAATCCGGATTCCAAAAGGTAAAGGTGCACAATTATCGATTGGAATTTTTCATGTTGAAAAAGGGAGTATTTAGAACAAAAGAAAGAAAGGTAGAAAAGGGGAGTACACATACACCAGTGGCTCAGGTTGATTTGAACTATTTGATCGCTGCCAAAACCGGGGGGGGGAACTTCTTATAATCGCTCATACGGGGAGGCTCCGCCCAAAAGGGGTACCTTTTCCAGGCGTAAGGTATATGAAAGGGCAGGGATATCACTAGTTGAAGTATATGAAAGGGTAGGGAAATCTGTTTTCAAGGTCTGTAAAAAGACCCAAAAGGACTAACAGATGCATTTCATGGCTGTGAAAAAGTCGTGATATATGTGTTCATATTTAAAAGACACTTCAAATACAGCAGTTAAAAGAGATGCAAAGCTTTAATCTAGGTATGTGAAAGGTGAGGTGTACCATTTGTCAATAGAAGGTTGGACCGCGCCGAGTCGGAGCCTCCTAGTATATATAATTTGTTGCATACCTCCCCCAGGTGCCAAAGACATTAAATATTGTAAGAGGAGTGCACTAGTACGCTGAAGGAGAATTTATCCACCATTAGTAGCTAAATCGTTTTCTTACCCTGGAAATAAGGGTTTAAAATCCTCTATCTGCCTTATTTCTGCCTGCAGAATTAAACAAAAGGTAAGCAAAGTGGTAAATTTTGGTGCAACAAGTTTGGATGGTTAATAGAAGCTATGATTGGTCGATAGTATCCAAAGACGAAAATTGACCAATCACTGCTCTCATTATTCACCCAAACTATCCCAGAAATCCTTGCACCAGAGACTTTTTTCCATTCTCCCTGTAGTTGACGGAGCCTACGATTTAGTTCAGTCTTACTTTTCTTGAGAAGCAAACTCCTTACCCGGAACAAGTTACTAGGTTGGATGTATTGAGGAAAATTGCAGGCGATGAACTGTTAGAAATAAAACAGAATTTGTCACAGTCAATGATTACATACAATGACATCCTCATCCTGGTTAAATTATGAGAGCGCTACTTTGGCTTGCAAGTTATACCGCCTAGATCTACATGGTGATGGTCAGTCTTAAGGGGTGCTTTCCATTTTGCAAAACCAAACATTCAGAAACCAGTGGAATTATCAAGAGAAAATGGAACGACATTGCTCAAGTAAAACAAAGTTTCCAATCGAATCGAAGCGATCGTTTCGTTTCGACCGCAATTTTGATTACTGTTTAGCAACGTAGGACAGGAAACGAGAATTTTTTGAAAGGGAACGGCATGCAAGTTTCGGTCGGACCCGACTTACCGGTCAAAGAGGACCACCTCTGGAGGTGAACAACTTTGACCGGAAAATTTCCACTTGGGCCGAAGCGTTCTATTTATTTATTGACCGAAATTTCAGAACATTTTGGCATAATGGAAAGCAACCCACTTTGCAACATCTTGTCAAAGGAGCCATTTCTGGAGAAGAAAAAAGGCATGGAAAAGCTTGCAAAAGTACTTTTGCGAGGTGTGGCCATAAAGGATGACAACTGAGCTATTTGAAGAATGTCTACTACAACTCAGAATAATATCCCTTCATAACCTGAAATTGTCGAGGAACAAGCAAATGTTATGAAGACTGGAGCTTTACATGGATCAAGATAAGCATATTTTGAAGTTGGAAATACAGTAGAACACCGATAACTCGAACTCGGGTAACACGAATTCCCCGATAACTCGAACTAAATTTCCTTCCCTTTGAGAAGTGAAATTTCCCCCAATAACTAGAATACTGGTTCTTTTATCTCTACTCGCGGATGCCATCCCATTGGTCCTTCTTGTTGTATAAGGGTAAAAACACTAAAACCAACACTGGTCAACACTAAAGCAATTTAATTTTCATTTGTGAAACGAACAAATCACGTTTCATCATAAACAAATGCCTAATCATGCTACCGTTTATAATGAAATTAACCTGCGAAGAGGCACACTTGTGGGAATTCCGCCGCCAAAATAATTTTCCCCGAATTCACACAAGTGAGCCTGAAATGAAGTAAGGTGAATTTTATTATTTGCACTGCACCTTGCACTGAAGTGCTGAATTAAAAATCAGTAATTTAAATTTTTAACATGGCTATAATTGAATTTTGAAATCGACTCCGATAACTAAAAACCTCGTTAACTCGAACAGATTTTTATTTTTTCTCGTTTCCCTTCAGAATTCGAGTTACCGGGATTCTACTGTATATTGAATGAATAAAAAGATCCTCTTATCTCAGAGGGTGCAGGTCCTACTCGATCTGCATGATTCTTCATATCATAAGAAAGCCGAATCCAACATTTAATTCAGTTTTAATTTACATTCTATTTATTTAGAATTACACACTTGAACGTACCAAAATCAGAGGCAGTCGTGGTCGACACATTCTTACTGCCGACAGTCCTGATGGCATAGTTTCAAAACATCAACTTGTTGTGTGTTTGTTATTAGCAACAGGCCAGGATAAAGCTAATCTAGGGATTAAAATTCTTTGGCTCAACCCAAATTAAACTTATTATGGTTAATACCTTTGGACAGGCATTGCTTGTGTTTGGAGTACAGACGCATGCAGGAAAAGCAGTTTTCTTTAAATGCGCCATTACAAACACCTAACTTTTTACTTCTCGAACAACCCCAAACTTTGCAGCTTTAAGTTAAATGGTTTCAAGACGCTCTTTTGTGAAGGAATTTTCGCTAACTGGTTCTTCGTAATTTGTTTTAAAATAGGAAAAGAATTCGTGAATGACTGATTACTGCAATTAAAGGAATATTTTAAAAGTGCCCTAAATGTTAATACACTGACAATGTAAATCGACTCTTTGCATCTAAGTAAAGAACTACCCAGGTCTTTTAGTTTTGAGAGCATGCAAGATGGGTTCTATTTGCTGTCTCTTAAGCTTTGGATAGTATCGCTCTGCTTGGTAGATAATACTTGACTTTGAAACTACAAAAAAAAACCAAGATTATCAAAAATATTACCGACTCGTGTTCTATTTTCAAGCAAGGTATTCGGGTCAATTGAACTGTAACTTTTGATGGCTATACCCTAATTTAACCTCATTAGTTCACCAAAATAAGCAAATATATTTCGTTAAGATACTGAAAACCCAGCTTCATCCTTCAAGTGGTAGATTAGAACATAGTTATTAGAGGAGACTGGTTATGAAAAGCGGCAAACATCAATGATAAAAACAACAGTGCTGCAGTTTATGTTGGAAGCACCCTGAAAGTGCACAATCCTTTGTTTTCTGTTGGCAAATTGTTACGGAATAAATTAATGCAACGTTTTTATTGGTCAATACAATCAAAATGATAGGAATTCTTTTGAACGTTGTGCACTTTCAGGTCCACAAAAACATATAACAAAGGAGTCTGACGGGTTTCATAACCATTCCACTCAATTAACTATGATTAGAAACAGGTATAGAATACGATTGTTAATATTGTGATTTGGTTGCCCACGGGGCACTTAGGAGTTCACCTCAACTCGTTGAAAAGTGTCCGTGCGTTCCAGATCGAATTGGAATTAATTTGAAAGTGTTGGTTTTTAAGGAGAGAGGAAAAACGGAGTACCCCAAGAAAAAACCTCTCGAAGCAAGAGAGAGAACAAACCACAATTTCTACCCACATATGGCGTCGTCGCAAGGATTGGAACCCGGGCCACAAGGGTGGAAGCTGAGGAGAGTGCTCTCACCGACGCAACACGCTTGCTCTTACCTTATACATGACTGAGGATCCGCTCAACAATTTTATCCCGAGAAATGAACCGTTTGCAAGATCATTTTGTGTTTTGATTGACTGAAACGCAATGCAGTATCATATCTTTATGTTACCGCCTACACCTGCAAAATTTGGCACTTATGCAGTACTAATCACTAATCAGTACTAAACCATGGTTAATTTATAAGCCTATTTCTGAATAACCACCTTCTGTTGCCAGGCTATCCGAATGCCGGCTTCATGCACCCAAAGCCTTATTAAGCAATAATCTTAATTCACTTTCTATAACCGATATTTCAGACAGAGGGTTGCCTCGATTACAAAGCTGTGGCACTTTTTAAGCATGCAGCTCTAATCACAGGTTGTATATACATGTTATCTTTAATTTATAATCAGTGTAACCATGTTCCCTTGATATGATGACGCACTGTCAAAATGTTACGATGCACCAGACGACTTGAACAGTAATCTTCATACACTTCTATTATCGGATATTTTAGCTATTTGAGTTGAGCACTTGAAGTATAGTTCACTTTCATGTTCGTCATTTCTAGTCAGCAACAATAAAAAAAGCGCAGGTTGTACTACATATACCAGCTGATATCGTTCATTAATTTTACACCTTTTACCGACATCTCAAGGTGCTGCAGAACTAAAATGTTTCATATGAGTAGTCACAAGGCAGATTCGAGCAAGCGGAATAATTGCGGATCTCGCTTATTCATTGTTCCTGGCAGTTTTTTCTGACTTATTTGTTATTGATTGTGAATTCTAGCCTTTACTTCATTATTCATCATATCCCTGATACATACCAGCGGTTTACTTTTGTATTTCTTTATACCATGGAAAATCGCGCGGAGTTGGCGAGAAGTAGAGTATTAATTAAAACAAACTGAGGCCAGAAGGGCCGAAACAAAAAAGACCCCCACCCCTTATCTCAGAGTCTGGATGACCTACCCCCCCCCCCCTCCCCTCCAAAAATCTCACGCCCCCTGCGCTGCAAGGTCACGTTTTATCTTTTTATTTTATTTAATTAAAGAAATCGTTCAACACGGTGATTTCCTTATTCTTTTATATTGGATAACCTCGGCTACCGCATGACTAGTA